CATTTCTGACCTACTGCTAAATTATGAACCATCCAGATCTCTCAGGTCTTCAGGGACTGGTCAGCTTTCTGTCCCCAGAGTCAGAACTAAACATGGTAAAGCAGCGTTCAGTTATTATGCTCCAAATATCTGGAACAAACTCCCAGAAACCTGCAGGTCCGCTACAACTCTGACTACTTTTAAATCCAGGCTGAAGACTTTTCTTTTTGTCGCTGCTTTTAATTGAACTATTCATATCTTAGCTCACTGTAACTTTTATCCATGTACTTTTTTCTTTTAATGTTTAATTGACAGCACTGTAACTTTTATCCATGTATTTTTTTTTGTAATGTTTATTTTATTAGCTTTTCTTTTTAATGACTGATTTTAAATGCCATTTTCTTAATCTCTTTCATTTTTTGTAAAGCACTTTGAATTGCCTTGTGTTGAAAAGTGCTATATAAATAAACTTGCCTTGCCTTGCCTTGGCTTATAGTATCTTCTTGATTTTTTATATTCTATATTTATACTTTCCTCCTATGAAAGTATGTACTCTTAATATTTTTTTAATCAAATAAAACACAATAATTCAATAACGTGCTTTAACCACTAGGAGGTGCACACAAGGTACACACAGCCATAATAACTTTGTATTATTAGTGTAGGACACTTATGTTTTCGTACAACATCTGAAGATGTGTAGTTTTATGCATGCTTTCACATAATTTTACAGCATATTGCTATACTATTTCAGACTCAGTATTTACATTCTTACATTCAAAGAAAATCAGTAATATCTTTAAAAACTACAGTCCTTTTATATCAGCTGTGCACCGTTATGGTGTAAATATAACTTATCTGTGAATGAGATCAAATGTAAAAGTCAGCCGAATTAGTGTTGATACTGCAAGGAGACGTATTGTGTGAAGAGAAATTGAAGATGTTGTTTAATTGTTGAATATATTTATGATCCACGTCAATTATTCAGTTTCGGCGGCATTTTCTCAGTTTTTCCAAAGGTCTTCTCATCAGGGCTCTATAAATAAAGAACTACGGCAGATCTGTAATATACAATGCAGCCGAACCGTGTATTACAATGCCGTTATGTGATGACTTTCAAAGAGAAAAGCAAGAGCGCTCGGAATTAAGTATTATTTAAAAATGTTTTCCGGATTTCATATCATATAAACACCAAATCCCAGCATGCATTGCGGCTAAAACATCCAATAAGCTAGCTTAAAACCATAGCTGAGGATCTTGGGTAATCGCTCGAAATGCCTACATCTGTTTCCGGTTATTTTTATTTTGAAATTCAGTTCCTGACGGACGCCAAAAAAGCCCGAGATTATGGAATTAAACCAATAAATAAAAGCAAGGATAATTGTGTGTTATTGGTGAGTAAATAACAGTGTGTTATTTTGAAAATAATAACAAATTAGAAGGGAAAAAAGATTTAAAAAATACAGATTTCAGTATCCTGAGGCTCTGAGCCCCATTTATTTTCCTCACAGACGGCAACAAAAGTCCGAAATTATACGATTTCAAATAAAAGCAATAGGCTTGATATTGAGTAAGAACATGTTTTTATGAACCACACAGCTTCCGGTCTTCCTCGACCCGACCGGAGAAAAAGACGTGCTGCAGGCAGTAGAAATACATTGCTTTTAAAATCGTGCTGTGCAACACGAAAAAAAGGGGCAAATCGTGTTGGTGAACACGAATCAATAGATTAAAAATCGTGTTGGGGAACACGAAATGCCATGAGACTGACTGGGTTGGGATATAAATTCACTGGCAGCAAGTAACCCTATTCCGCCTATTCCCCACTTCCTAAGAAGTGGTAGTACAAATGCTTTACCGGGCGGGATGTTGCCCAAAAATCGTCGGAGGAAGAGAGGAAGGAGAGGAGGCGTTCAACGCAGACTGAGGACAAACGGGCTAGACAATCGACGCCGGCTCCCTCCGCTCCCAACTATCCTTCCCTCCAATGTTCAATCCCTACGGAACAAATTGGACGAATTGGAGGCTTGTGCTAAATTCAAGCGAGATTACAGGGACGCGTGTCTGCTGGCATTCACTGAGACGTGGCTGAAAGCCTCGGACAGCAACGAGGACCTACACATCAGCGGTTTTGGGTACCCTGTTCGGATGGACCGGTCGCCTGTCATAACAAACAAATCCTGCGGGGGTGGAGTATGCTTTTATATCAACAAAATGTACTGTAATTCCTTCACAGTTCGGGAGGAAATATGTACTCCGGATCTTGAACTGTTATCCATTTCACTTCGCCCCTTCTACTTGCCTAGAGAGTTCCCCCAGCTGTTTTTCACTATTGTTTACATTCACCCACAGGCAAACGCCTCAGCAGCCACTCAGCTGATTGAGGAAGTTACTAACAGACTGGACTCCCTCTCCCCGATGCTCCTAAATTTATTTTAGGAGATTTTAATCACTGTCAGGTGCATAAGACCTTAAAAACATACGAGCAGTATGTCACATGTCCTACAACTTTAAATAAATCCACTATTGACTTATGTTACGGCACGGTGCCTGGTGCGTTCAAGTCCCTGACCATGCCCCCTTTTGGAGCTTCATACCACACGAGCGTTCTTCTGGTGCCGATCTACAAACCCATCTGCAGGAAACAAGTGTGCACAAAAAAAACTGTGAAATGTTGGACAGAGGAAAGCATTGCCACCTTACAGGCATGTTTGGACTGCATGGATTGGGATGTGTTTTATAGCTCATGCTCTGATCTCAATGAACTGACGTCAACTGTCTCATCCTACATATTATTTTGTGTGGAGTCTAACATTCCTTGTAAAGACATTACCGTCTTCCCTAATAATAAGCCGTGGGTCACGAAGGAACTAAAGAGTGTTATAAATAGAAAGAAACGTATATTTTATACTGGAAACAGTCAGGACAAAAAAGAAATTAACAGAGAATTAAGAAATGAGATAAGAAAAGCTAAAATAGCTTATAGGGATACGGTGGAACTCAAATACAGCAGTGGAGATCTTCGGGAAGCCTGGAGGGGAATCAAATCAATGTCCTCCATCTCCCAGGGTAACAACAATGACAGGGCTAGGAATACAATTAACATTGAGGGAACAAATGAGGCAGACCTCCCCAATGCTTTTAACATTTTTTATTCTCGATTCGAGAAAAATGATTTATCCATAAACACCTCAACCCTTAGAGCGTCTCTCTCACCTATCTCAGACATAGTCATTGAACAGGATGATGTTAGGAATCTCTTAAAACTAGTCAATATTAGGAAGGCCCCAGGTCCTGACCATATTTGTGGGCGGACACTCCAGTATTGTGCTAGCGAACTCTGTGGTGTTTTCCAGCATATCTTCCAATTGTCACTTCAGAATAGCCAAATTCCTGATATGTGGAAATCCTCAACTGTAATTCCCATCCCTAAGAAGCCTCATCCTAAAGTCCTAAACGACTTCAGACCGTGGCTTTAACGTCATTGGTAATGAAAATGTTTGAAAAAATTGTTAAAGGCCTTGTCATGTCAGTAATAGGTGGTGAACTTGATCCACTACAATTTGCGTATCAGGCAGGGAGAGGCGTAGAGGATGCAAAGCTTTTTATACTGCACACCCTCCACAAACACCTTGAAAAGCCACAAGCCCATGCCAGGCTTTTGTTTGCTGACTTTTCTTCAGCATTTAACACAATGCAGCCGCATCTCCTGGTAGAGAGCCTATTATGTCATTTTAAACTGCCCGATCAACTTGTTTTATGGATTTTAAACTTTCTAACTAATAGAGAGCAGAAAGTGTCTGTCAATGGACGCCTCTCTGACTCTGTCATCACTTCCACAGGCTCGCCTCAAGGATGCGTTCTTTCGCCCCTACTTTTTATAATGTACACTGATAAATGCAGGAGCATGCAAGACAACAGCTACCTGGTTAAATTCTCTGACGATACCGCCCTCTTGTCCCTCCTTAGCGGCTCAGAATCAGGCCACGAGGGTGCTCTTGCCGATTTTATTTCCTGGTGTGATGACAGTTTTCTGGATTTAAATGTCTCCAAAACCCAGGAATTGATCATTGATTTTAGACGTCACAAGGATGTTCCTAAGGAGTGCATCATACACAATGACGAGGTAGAAATTGTCACATCATACAAATACTTGGGCACCATTTTCGATGAGCACCTCAAATTTGATGTGAATACTGAGTGTATTGTGAAGCGGGGTCAACAGAGAATGCACCTTCTTCGCAAACTGAACTCTTTCTCTGTCAGGCCCTTCGTTCTTTGTCGTTTTTACCAAGCATTCATTGAGAGCCTTATTTGTTTTTCTTTTATCTGCTGGTTCCATAGCCTTACACTGAAAGACAGGAACAGCCTGAACAGCATTGTTAAAACCTGCTCCAAGATCATCGGCGTGAAACAGAGAGACTTAAATTCCTTCTGTAACCAACAGATTCTGCGGAAAGCAGAGAGCATTCTGAACTCTCCAGGTCGTGTTCTTTCACATGAATTTCGTCTGTTGCCTTCAGGGCGTAGATATGCTCTACCTGCTCAAAGGACTAATCGCTTTTCTAAATCATTCATCCCTTCTGCACTCAAACTTTTAAATTCTGGAAAGGCTTTTAACTTGATTATTTATTTATTTATTTATTATTGTGATGCTTTGAACTATTTATAGTGTAAATTAGAATTATTCACATCTGTGCTCCCGGGTGTATCTGTGTGTTTTTCTTCTTGTATGTTCCTGCCTGTGTACATGACATAAGCTGCTGCTCATAACCAATTGCCCCTTGCGGGATTAATAAAGTTGTTGATTGATTGATAGTAAACAAAATATATTTGTACAAGCCCTGCTGTTACATCCTGGTGGTTAAACCTATCGAAAATGTAGAGTTCACAGCATATAGTTGAACCTACTGCTGCAGGTCTCCCTTGAAAAAGAGATCGTTGATCTCAATGGGATTTTACCTGGATAAATAAAGGTTTTGAATTGAATAGTTGGAAAAAAGCGTTAAATGTTCAGTATCTAGTAGTACCACACACACTGATATGAATAATTTATTAATTTCACATTATACAGCCCACAATGAACTCTCCATCCCACTTCCATTAAAAAGGACAATTGAACAAAAAATCCTCCCTGTGGAAAATAATGATGCATCACACGTTCTCACAGTCTCTTCACACTCTCCAGTGAGTTATCAATATATTTAATTAAAATCTAGACTTATTTTGTACTTTTGGTCTCCATTCACTTGTTGGCAGCCCTCCATCTGTCCCACTGCTAAATACAAGTTCAGTAGTTCTTGTTGGCCAAATCTGTTCCCGTCCAAGATCTGGACCAACTGAATGTCCCCCTGCTCAGGAGCCTCGGGTTATCCAATCACTGAGCTTAGTCTCTGGGTATCCCATGTTACAGAGAGCACGTCGAGTGCGGCTCCTTTAAACATTCAGCAGGCTTTCAGTGGAAGGCGTAGAGCAGGAGGAGGATGGTGCAGACGCCGATCACTGTGCCGAGGATCAGGGAGTCCCTCCTCTTCCTCAGGTTTATTCGCTGGATGAGATTGTTGATGGTTGGGAAACGGTCGAGGAGGGTCAAAAGTTAAGGAAGATCACAGATATTTAAATTCACAAAGACATCTTCGGTTGGTAGTCATAAATCACACTTTGGATGTCGATGCCATGCAAATATAAAATCTCAGGACAGCTAGCAAACTGAACATTTGAAGGCTTAATGATTCAGACAAAAATCTTAATCTTATTTTTGCCATATAATGAGATCTCAATAATATGATATCTAGAATTGGGGAACATGATGGATATTGAACTTTTAAAAAAACTCAAGGAAAAGGGTGCACTGAATTTATAACGGTTTTGTTTTATATGGAGATTTTTAGTTTTATCAAGTCAAATTCCTCGTATGTGTGAACCTACCTGGCAAGAAACCCGTTTCTGATTCTGAAAACAGGAGCATCATCGCTAAACAAAATGCGGCACAGTTTTCATTTGATCAACATTATCTTGGTTTTGTTACCTTTGGAAGCCAAAATGCAATTGTAAATAAAGTCATGTAAATTACCAGAGCTACTTAAAAGAGGACTGATTAAACGTATAACATGGTAAAAAAAAAATCCCTCTACACCTGCATTAGCCCAGACCATTTTGCATTACTTGGCTTCTTAAGTATTTGATAAGTATCAAAAGATAATTTGTGTGAATGACCACTTCTTGGTCCATCCCTATAATATAACAAAGACCCACTTTCCATCAGAGAAAAGCAATATGTGAGCATTGATTTCTAAAGGATCAGCATTCATTTCATACCACCAATCCTTCAGCTTCCAATCCATTGTGAGCTTTCTTCTATTTGGTTCCACACACAACTATGCGATTAACATTGCCAACGGCGTGTGATTAATTAGGTGGTTGTTCGTTTTACCTGATGTTGGCCTCCTTCCCCTTCCCCTCCAGGGAGACCATAAAGCAACCTTAATGTGCAGCATGAAGGATACTGGCCAGTGTGTTGACCCGGCTCTGTATAGATTTCAGGAAGCCACGCTGCGAGGTCATGTTCTCCTTGGTCGCCATGGCAATACTAAAAGACAAAAGGGAGAACTTAGATGAACAGTGACAAAATGCTGCATGGTATTGCACTCATTAGTATTGTTAAGAGCCTTTGACTGCAAGTGAGAACGCTAAAGCTGGCAAGGCGGAAAACAGAACCACCTAAAAGGGTCTATTGTTGAAAATAAATTAAGATGTCCTGTCACCTACATTTGCTCCCTACAAGCACCATGTCAGGAAAGCATGTATGACCAAAGAAAAGCTAGTTTCTAAACAATTATTAGATTTTTTTGAGTTGCTTTTTTAATTTTTAGTATTTAAAGCTAGAGTTGGTAATAAAAATCCTTTTTTTTAAAAAAATTTTTTTTAAATGTTCTTTATATCCTGGCAGCCATTAACAAATCAAATGATCTCACACAAAAAAAGATCTGGTATCTTTAGCTGTCGACCGGACTGTAACAAGCCTGTCCAATCATTTCATTGGTTGCATACATTTAGAATATACTGTACTGTTGTTCATTTCTCAATATCACAGCTTCATCTTTACGTCGGTGCCTACGATATGTGTGTGAGCTGTGGCTTGTACAGGAAGGTGTAGAGTTGCTGTGTTACTGTAGCACCTTTCAGTGCAGCAAAGTGCCGCTGGGCAGTTGGCAGGAAAGGTTTCAGGCTCTATGTTTGCCCTCTGTGGCGTCTGTTACAAGCAGTAATCAATGGAAGCTACACTGCCCTCGTTTGAGCCCTTCTCAGAGAGAGACATTTAGAAAAATACTCCCCAGAACAACCCGACAATGACAAAACACTGACTTTAGCTTAGTGTTAATATGCTCAAAGAACAGGTGGCACAAAATGTAACTGTTGGCAGCGAGGTGATAAGCAGTTAGCGCCCAGGGGACTGACCCCTCCCAGCCCAGAGAGACAGGGCTTCACAGGAGGCCGGGCAAAACAAAGTAAATGAAATTGCCACGGTTGTTTACACTTGGCTGGAAGAGCTGATGAGCAGCAGGCCTAGAGAGAACGGGTGCCTGTGTGTATGAGTGTGTGTGAGGTCATGGCTTCCCCTGACAGTCCACAGTCTTGGCCTGCAGCAGTGTTTTGGGGATCATGTTCTCCTCGGTCAGGGAGAAACACTTTGCTGACTACAGCAACCTCCACACGTCTTGTTTTTGACACACACACACACACACACACACACACACACACACACACACACACACACACACACACACACACACACACACACACACACACACACACACACACACCACACACACACACACACACACACACACACACACACACACACACACACCACACACACACACACACACACCACACACACACACACACACACACACACACACACACACACACACACACACACCACACACACACACACACACACACACACACACACAATGAATCTGTCCATTCAGATTTATTCATACAACCCAAAATTGTGAATCACTAAATCTGCCTCAGAGGGCTCTACAACATACACCCCTCCTAAAAACCTGAATCAGCCTTAGGATAAACAACACAAAAGTTATTCTGATTTGTAAGCACGTCTCAGCATTTCTTTTCAAGGTTGTTTGTTGTTCTGATATGCACCAGAGGGAAATGGAAATAAGGGTCAGTGTTACCAGAGAGGTAACCACAGGAAGAGGACACTCCACACGAGAGAAGAGTAACTGGAGAAGTTGACTGTGTGCTCTTTACTTTAATTCTTCCCAAACAAAGCAACAACAGCAAGCACGTCCAAAGATAAGTAGTTCACTATTCAAAGAGCAAATTGAGAGACAGTTAGGTTCAGTGGCGTTTTTCATATGTACAAAAGTGGTGGGGCACGAACAACTTAGATGTGTATATATACAACTAAGTTATGACATCAAATGAACTTACCAAAGCTGAAGTAGATAGTCAACTTCATTCATTTTCTTTCCGTTTTACTGATTTTAATCGCCATAAGCTGCTCTCTCTCGTCTCCTCTTCACATCTACACTTTTCGCGGCACACGTACTTACAGCCAATCAGCTCTCTGAATAATGAGATGACGTTTGGTGGGTATGGCAGCACAGTGCCCCTATGGTGATTGTTTGTTTGCCGCACACATTGAATAGAAAAATACTCTGAGCATGCGCAGTGTAGTTTTTATAGTACACGTTCATTTTAACAGCAGAGAGAGGAGCTTGCCCCACGTCGCTCAACACGGCTCAATAGGCACACTGTAGACACTAATTAGAAGAACGCAGCAATGTACAGACGAATCAGATGACTAAACATGATCTTAAAATATATTTTAACATATTAGTTTTGCATATTTTGGGGATTATTATTATTATTATAGGTGGGGCTGTGCCTAATGACGATTGGCCACTGGTTAGGTTAGAGCCTTTTATTCATCATTTCTCTATGGACTCAGACGTAACCAGATCTATTTTCTAATGTAAATCATAATCTGGAAATGTTTCAATTTTACACAACATCTCTCCCCAGCAACTATATCTTGCTCCCTTTAGTTAATTAGTTACATTTATTTGAGAGTGTGATAGGATCATTTGAGAAGCAACCTTAATGATTTCCACATTTAACTTGGGAGGAATAAGAAACAGAATTGCAAAGGTTTTCAAAAATGTGGAAAAAGATCAGAAAGGCTATAGAAAATGACAAGACTTTGGAGAAAATGAGCTCTTATAAAAAAGGGTAAGTAAGGAAACGGAATTTGAGAAATATAGACGAAATCCACAAATCAGCCCGCTGTCCAAGCCAAGCCCCAGGAAAACATAGTTTACGAGGTGCAGGGACTAGAAATGGAAAAGGCGATGGGTGGGAGAGAAAGCAGCCAGCAGGGATGGAGGGTAAATCCTACACAACATATTTGTGCATGTCTGCAGGGAGGGGAAGGAGCAGGGCTGGAGAGAGATGGATGGCATCTATAAATCAGAGAGGTGGGAGGACTTACTCTGGGCACGTGACAGCTTTGTTCAGTTTAATGCACACACGATATAAATGTGACCATCAGTTGCTGCACTTCCAAGGCTTTGATGTGTATAGAAAACTCTTTTAGTTGAATAATCCGTACAAACCATGTCTACAATTGGACTAAGAATACACGTTTATTCATATCATTTCGGCCACGTGGAACCACGGTAACAGGACCTGTCAGGCCATGTTAAGGTACATTGTACATTTGATTAGGATTCAGCAGGTAGGTAAGACAGTGGAGATGGGGTGTGGGAGCGGCCCCATATGTGGGAGACAGAGAGCAGGTCTTACCTTATCGTGTCATCCATCAGTCGGTCCGAACTATAGACAAAAAGTAGGAGAGGGCAGAGGAAGGAAAAAGAGAAAATCACAGGTTAGATATTGACATGAGGCAGGATAGCAAACCTTGGATGGTTATAAACATGATATGTGGGCAGTTATCAGTTTCAGACTGTAGGCAAACGATACTGAATCACAGTAACTGGTGAAACTCAGCTGAATTAAGTGTAATGTTGTGTGGGACTGGAACTCCTTTTCTTCCATCAATCAGATCAACTCTCAAATTGGGAATAACCACCAAGGCGGGCGGCAACAAAGCATGACTTAATTATAATCTTCTCACAAAGTGTAGTGTGGTGACATTTCTGTGTTCACAACAGCAGAGAGTATTATGTATTTAACAAGTGTGTGTGCAACTCAAAAAGCAGCAGATGTTAGACTTGTTTTATGGACAAAGCTAGATGGAGTCTCTTTTAAGCTCAGAATCAAAGAGGAATGTTTGCCATTGGTCTGGACTGAGTAGAGCCAGAGAGATCCTGGAGCAAAGAGAGGGATCCAGACACTGCTTTTGTCCTAGAGACCAAAGTGGAAGGCACACATCCACACACAAACAAACGCTCTCAGTGGTTCACTCCCTAATGGTATCAATTTGGGTTATGTTTCAGAGAACTAAACCAAACAAATAAAACCGTATTCATCAGGAAGTTGAGGCAGGTCATGCAGGAAGCTAATATTTGCCCTACTATTATACTTCAACAACAACAACGTCATTGTGTCCGGAGAAGCAATTCTATGCATTTCATATTTCCACATCCATTCAGTTGCACAACCTGATTGCCTTGCTTCGTATGTGCTTCCTGTGAAGCTCTTAGCGTCCTAATGTATCAAACCAGAGGAGCAGGAAGGGGGATCTCAAAGATTCCCGCTTTGATTTGATCCACAACAAACTCTTCCCAAACCACAAACATCTTCAACCTTTCCCAGAATCTTCTCTTTATACCTTTAGACCTACCGTGTCTAATCTCTACAAGCTACATAATTCACTAGTTTGGTGCTCAATCATAGAGATTGTTCTCAAAACTATGATCCATACTTCATGTCAGCTCCTGGTGACGTATACAAGTATCTTACTCCATAAGGGAATTATAAACAGCTTGCACAGCACCTGGAGCCTGAAATTGAAGCAGCAAAATATAATTCAGTCGTGATTGATTTGTAGCATTTACACCTGTGTCTATCCTACTGTGACATATCAAAATGTCTTCAGTCATTGTTTCGCATTCATCAAATGCTGGGAAGCTCTCAAAAAGGAGTTTAAAAGTTCCATGTTAGGAAAAATGAGAAGTCATTTTGTTATAGCGGAAAGGAGCACTACAATATTCAGAGAGTCCAAAAACAAATCAGTTAAACACAAGTCAATACTATTAGGAGATTTAAATAATTTTAACTATGACTGTAGGTCAGTATTGACCAACTGATTTTGCAGAAGAGACAATTTTCTGGGTTATATTAGTATAATGACTTTAAGCTTGGTCCTGCTAATGACCTGTAATGTTAGGGTCCTTCTCTCTCTACTGGAGGGCCCAATAGGACTGACCTCAACCAATAAACATTTAATTGTTTGATTTAAGTGCTGTAATCCCATATCCTCGCCCATCACACTGGACTGGAAACTGCACAGTGTGTGGGCTGGAAGGCCTTCGGTTGCTACTGCTCAAGTAAACTATTTGGCAGTAGTACGTAACACTGTCTAAGTAGCTCTGAATTGTTTTGTGAAATAGAAAGGTAACTGTCATTGTCTACATTGTTGCTGGATTGTATAATTATTTGTTTGTTTTACGTTTTTTTTCCTTTCTATGATTCTTTTCATGGCTCTGTTGTTTAAGTTATCTTGATAAGTATTTTTTGGTTTGGTTTTGCCTGTGTGGGCATGTGTGGAGGGAGGGAGTGGGGAGTGTAGTGAGTGTACTGCGATATTACAATTTAAATGAAATGGCATCAATTATTGTACACTATAATGAAATAAAAAGACGTATTACATTTTTTTAAATAACTGGCGCATAACTCCGGCTGGATGGTTTGCCATAACGAGATTGTGGGAGCAGCAACTGACATTTAAAACAATCTTACAAACCCATTGTGCTGAATTTGATTATTATGCACTTAAGATCAAGAAGTGCTCTAACAAAGGCTGAATGTCTTGACGAGACATAAATGACAGCTTAAGTAGAATGTGGTTAGGTAAAGGACAGACAGCCACATGACACCGGTCTTAAATGATGGAAGAAAAAACGTGATGGTGGACGGACAAACGACTGACAGAGAAAACTAAACCTTTAATCGTCTGTCTGCCGCCAGTGTAATCCTTATAAATCACGAGCTGTGAAGCAAAAGAGAGAGCGGCTGTGAGCTGAGGTGAGCTGTGATTTATGGAGATCTTATATGCAGAAGGAGACGGGCCAAAAGATGTATGCTTTGCTCCTTCCGTCGTCAAGCCACCGCAGTAGTGGTGAAATTGATTGTGCGATCACGTTCATGTCAATGTGGCCTTCTGTGGTTTCAGTGGGATCTTTCCGTTTCCCCTGGTCACTGCTGTTTTGCTGCAGTCATTATATCGCTCATTAGCTTCAAGCTAATTGCCTTTCTCAATGTGATGTATCAACCCACATGTTTCCATTCACGCTCAAGAATATAGAAACGTACAGACTCCGTCCATTCAGTAGTGCCTGATATTTTACCACTGGTTGTTGCAGTGATTCTCAGGCACCACTGCAAAGATGGTACACACGGCATCTATTGCACGTCTGTCCGTCCTGGGAGAGGGATCCCTCCTCTGTCGCTCTCCCTGAGGTTTCTCACATTTTTCCCTTTAAACTGTGGGTTTTCTCCGGAAGTTTTTCCTTGTACGATGTGAGGGTCTAAGGACAGAGGGTGTCGTATTGTCATACTGATATTCTGTACACACTGTGAAGTCCACTGAGACAAATGTAACATGTGTGATATTGGGCTATATAAATAAACATTGATAGAATGCTGCAGCTCGTGTACTAACCAGAGTTAGGAAAAGGGACCACATTACTCCTGTTCTGGCTGCCTTACACTGGCTCCCTATAGAACACAGGATAGAATTTTAAATTCTTCTTCTCGCCTACAAAGCCCTTAATGGGCAGGCGCCATCTTACCTTAAAGAATTCATTATACCCTACTGTCCTAATAGGGCATTGCGTTCCAAGAATGCAGGGTTGTTGGTTGTTCCTAGAGTCTCTAAAAGTACAATGGGAGCCAGAGCCTTTTCTTATCATTACATTACATTACATTACATGTTCCTTGTTAGACGCTTTTATCCAAAGCGACTTGCATACTCAATACTGTGGGCAATCCCCACAGGAGCAATTTGGGGTGAAGTGTCTTGCCCAGGGACACAATGACATGCTGACTGCAGTGGGTTTTGACCCCCTGATCCCAACACCAAGGCTCTAACCACTGCGCCACACGCCTCCCAGAAGGACGTCACTGGGTTATCAAGCTCCACATTTGTGGAATCAGCTTCCAGTTTGTGTTCGGGCGGCAGACACCCTATCCGTTTTTAAGAGTGCGCTTAAGACCTTCCTTTTTGATAAAGCTTATAGTTAGGGCTGATTAGATTCAGCCGCTAGTTTTGCTGATATAGGCTTAGTTTGTCGGGGGACATCTTACTTCTTCCTTCTCTCTGTCTATACCTGTGTACTCTCATGTTCCGATTAACCCAGCTTCCCCAAATGTCTTTCTTTTTGGTGTCTATATACGCCGGGATCCGGAGACATGGATGATCCTGCGGTCCTGTGTCCTGGATCGCGAGCCCTGGATCTTGAGTCGTGGCTGTGGTCCTGGATCATAGGTCCTGGATGGATATCCTCGTGGATTCATCTTCCTATTATACAAACATGCATTTCCAAACATTTGGACTACCTATGTTGCAAATGTATTATCTTTTCAATTTACACACGGCATCTATTGCACGTCTGTCCGTCCTGGGAGAGGGATCCCTCCTCTGTTGCTCTCCCTGAGGTTTCTCCCATTTTTCCCTTTAAACTGTGGGTTTTCTTCGGAAGTTTTTCCTTGTACGATGTGAGGGTCTAAGGACAGAGGGTGTGGTATTGTCATACTGATATTCTGTACAAACTGTGAAGTCCACTGAGACAAATGTAACATTTGTGATATTGGGCTATATAAATAAACATTGATTGATTGATTGAAGATGAATAGACGATCAAAAATGGTTCTGTGAAAGGATATGTTTTGCAGCAACCTCCTGAGATGAATGCTCTGTCATGTTGGCTTTTAGAGCAATGTGAGGCAACTATACAATCAGCCAGGTAAACTGAAACATTAATTACTTTGCCTAGGAAACCGTGTAGCGAATCTTGGCAACATTTGTAGAAAGCAAACTGCATCAGCAAAGAGGAAAAGTGGTCATAAATCAAAGCTCGGTGTTACATAGTCAGCACACTTCACAAATTGTCAGATTCGAGGAGGATCTTTACAGTAACGCTGCCATTCACCAACCATGGCCGAGGAGAATAGCACTGGGGGAAGCAAGACAGACTCTTTGAAATTGGTTTCATCACGGTAGAGAGCATCTTTCCTGCATTTTGTTGTAGACATTTGTAAATGTAGCTGCTAAGGGAGAGAACATTGTGCAAATGCCGGGCTCTTTGGCAAATACAACACCTAGCAAGCAGAATACATTCAGTACATAACAGCGAGCAGCAAAACACTACAATCATAATGTCTGTACTGGAACATAAACACGTGAGGGCATGGATATGGTAGATGAACTCTGTAAAAGCTCTCTTTTAGGTGTTTAGGCACATCTAATTTAAGGAGCAGTTTGATATAACCAGCTGGAAACAAAGCACTCAAATGAATTGACCTAAGACATGGCATTGTATTGCTCTTTTTGCTTGCTTCAGTGTTCTGCTCATTTCATTTCATTTCAGTGAACAATCTCCACTACGTATCTGAGCAAGCTTTAAGCAGGTGGACATTGAGCACTGTTCTATCCACTCCACCATAAAAGATAACTTAAAAATGCCCATTTTGTATTGTTTTCTTGTTAGCGAGCTGCTACTTTGTAACTGCACCCTGTTGATAGCCAAGGATGGCTATAAGATAAAACATGAAATGTCCACATTTAAATCGAAGAGTAAGAAAGTCTTCATCATATTCAAGCCAATGTTTGTCAGTTTTAAAGTAGGTGTGGACAAGTGAATGTGCCTCACTTCACACCGACACCATTGCTGTGTCAAAAGAAATTCCTCCGTTTGCCAGGAAGTCCCGATAGCATTGACCACTACCATTAGAGCATTTCCTGCATGAACTTTTAATGGACCTCCCTCCCTCTAGTTTATTCATGAGCTCTGACCGTTATGGCAGAGAGAGATGGAAAAACAGATACAAGGAGAGAGAATAAGGTAAAGATGAGGCAAACTCACAAACCAGTAGCCCTAAAAACGGTTCAAGTTCGCTTACACTATTAGTAACACTTACGGAAATATAAAAAGTGACCCATCTCTGACCCTAACATGTATAGCGCAGGCTGCTGCTACCCACCTCATATTATCGTCTCCCTTCCTTTAACAGTAGTTTCTGCGCTTGCCAGGGTCACACAGCGAGCTGCGACATCAAGTTGAAAAAGTTGAATCATCGTAAACTCTGAATGCGGTGCCAAATAGCTGCGTGCCTTCACTAGAGGCAGCAGCCGTCCCTGTCCTTGGCAGCGGCTTCTCGCTGTCTAAAAGCTCCTAAAGTTTCACTCTTATTCACCAAAAATAGCTCCAGACACTTCAGTGTGAATATTTAATACTAAGAATGTTTGAAAGTCTTTCTAGATACAAACACATCGCTCAAGTGCACATAGGGACTAATGCTTATTATTGTATTTGATTAAAAGAGAGAATCCCAGATTGTCAGAATGCATTAAAAGCATTTGGACTTAAACCTCTGATCTCTATGGAGGATCCATGCTCTGCCTTCAGTTAGACTTCAGACAGTTTCTCTGGCCACCAACACATGTTACTCCCTTTCTCTGAAGACCCTGTTTCATGGCTCCAACAGGATCAATCAAGCGTAACTCGATCCTCATCGCCAGTCTTCTCCTTGCCCCCCCCCCATCTTTGTCTATGGTCTGGGGAAGCCCTTTAATATGGGTTGTGGCAAGATCATGTCATTGTCGATATCCTGATCAATTGTGCTGGATTGGCACAAGGGCTTAAGTGCTGGGAATGCAGGTCGCTGCAAGAAGCCAGAGGAGGTTCAACATGCGTCCCTGGCAAACCCTGTTCTCATTTGATGTTGCCATTTCGTCATTAAAATTCAGTATGGCAATTTGGAAAAAAATTAGGAAGGAGGAGAAGGTTCCTCCGCCCTCTCAAGCCAATATGTGAGATACAAAGCGTGATATGAGCAACCATTGGGTTGCTCGATTATGGCAAAAATCATAATCTCGATTATTTGGGTCAATAATTGTAATTGCGATTATTAAATGCAATTATTCATTGACTTAGGAAAACATCCATTTATTGGAGAAAACAAATTTGAACATTATGTTTTTAACAGTTGATTACCCTGAGCTTTAAGTATAATTCAACTGAAAAACAAAAAAAAAGTAATAATAAAAAAATAATCGTTGTTTTTGTAATCGTTGCAAGCCATAATCGTAATCGCAATTAAAATACGATTAATTGAGCAGCCCTAGCAACCATATGACCGTATTTCTCAGGGCAACTCCCTAAACATGAATCCATGAGGGTGTTCACTTTCCTAGTAGTTTCATAAGTGAGCATCACAATGCAGCTTCACACAACGGAGTGTCTATGTGCCTCTTAAACGCCCCTGTGCAGCTACACTGAAAGAATGCTACTGCAATTAAATGTCATTAATACATTCACTTAAAGTGGAAGTGGTCTGTAACTACATCAATCTGTTGGAAAATTATTTCCTGGGAGTGCTAAACTCCAACTCAGTGCATCTTTCAATATCTTGTAAAAGGTTGTATCTTCCCATCACTAATGGGTAACTACACCAGGCACCAATTTCTGCACCATCAGCTTTCTATCAGCATACGCTACAGATCCCTCTTCACGTTACTGCCAGAAGGCAAAGCAGCTGTTTTAGGGACGGGGACATTATTTAAGCCCCTGTCACACTGTCCCGAAATGTACACCCGATGGACACACGAATATTGAATTGTGAATTTCGCACGAAGATGGCCCCGAACCACACACAAAGGCAACATTTACATTACATTTAAGACATACAACTGCAACGAAAGTAACACAAACAATTATGTTACAGTACTATGATACTGTACTGATATTTTCAGACTTTGTTCTTTACTTTCTCACGTCTTTATATGTAGAAGATATTACAACAACTTCCTGTCAACTCGCCTTCAAAATAATATATTATATCCTTTTCAGTTTCACAGAACACAAATTGGATTATTTACATAATATGTTTACATGATTTTGTTGTGCAATAAAACAACCAGATGGACACACGATAAAGGAAATGTTCAAATTCGGCTCTGATCGTAGCAACATCGGGCCATTCGTGAGGGCATCTTAAGCCTTCGTATGACCGCCGGTGGAGTTTCTCAGGCTCCGGCAGCAACTTCGTGAGCAGTGGCAAAATCTTTGGCATGCCAAAAAATAGCCGAAGGACCTTGCAAAGGTTCATTTTCGTGTTGAATTCGTGTGTCAATTTTGCCCTTCGTAAGGCCATCGTTAGGGCATCTTGTTATTATCGGTGCCATCGGGCATTCGCCACGATCAGAGTGAGGGTGAATGCACCGATGATAACACGAAGATGACACGATTTGACAAGATGCCCTCACGAGTGCCTTACGAAGTTGCCGCTCACGAAGTTGCTGCCGGAGCCTGAGAAACTCCAACGGCGGTCATACGATGGCTTAAGATGCCCTCACGAATGGCCCGATGTTGCTACGATCACAGCCGAATTTGAACATTTCCTTTATCGTGTGTCCATCGGGTGTCAATTTCGGGACAGTGTGACAGGGGCTTTAACGGATTCAGATGAAAATGTTGATATATTAAATTTGAATCATTTCAGAATAAAGTTTCAGCCATGGAATAAATAAATAACAAGGAACTAAAGATTGAAACAAAAAAAACTGCCATGTCATTGCAAGGTGGTCTTCTAGCTATGTTTTAATTGCTTTTTAAAGTAGATGTTTGGTTTACTCCCTGTATATGAGTCACTCTATAAACCCATTTTCATTTGATAAATTGAAGAATAAACATTAGCCTTGTCAGAGCAGATGAAGCCAGCTTTGAAATGAATTGAGGTTATTGATAGGGAGGTATTATTCCTTTGAGAGGTTGAAAGAGGAAACAAACAGGATGAATCTATCAGACTGCTTTGTATTTGCTAGGTTGTAATTATCAAATGGGATCATAAAGTTGACATTTCAGAAGCTTTTCTGCGTTTTCTTTGGGTTGCGTGTGTATGTGTGCCCTGCTGACATCTCATTTTTCTTTCCACACAGGTTTCCTCTCACACACAGGTACACACATACAGGTTTCACAAACTTTGCTACCTCATGCAGTTCTGCAGTGCTGGAGTCAGCCAAATGATAGTAGGACACTAACGAGGTTGTTGGCAGATCATAGTGTGACCTACTGTGTCAGTATACAGGGTATGCCTAACTAAGCTTTAACATATAAAAAGGTATGCAATAAGGTAGAAAACGTGTTAGCTTAGCATCACATGGTGTGGCAATAAAGTAACCCTCCCAAACAATTGCATCTACTGTAAAGCCGTCTCTTCCTATATATTCTTCATCGGGACATTAATTAAAGCACAAATGTGTTTTCTCTCCACTAGCCAGGAAAGCACTCAAAGCCTACCAACATTTTCTCTATCCTGAAGTATACAACAAACTCTAGATTAATGAGGGCGAGATCCTGAAAAAGAAGCTCCCCATCTGCTAGAGAGCATCTGTGAGAGTAAAGGTATAACGAGCTAAAGCACTAAAGGGTGTCAGATCTTAACAAAGCAAGCATCAGTAACAGCAATGATTTCCGGTGTTACTCCAAATGGTTTTGCTGTACCATCAAGATGAGTTATCCCAGCTTTGATTTCTGCGATGCTCAGGCTCTTTCTTCACCAGGAAAGACTGTAAAGCTCTATGGTGGCTATAGCTCACTTCTAACTGCTAAACATTTGTAATTAAAAAGTTGAAATGTTCATCTCTTCAAATTGTTTGGATACAGCAAAGAGAGGTGATGGGACTCACTTTCTCAGATGCTCGTGCTCCTTTAGGAACAGCTCTGTTCTTCTGTTGTTGACCCCGGAGCCACTCTTGTATGTCCTAAAAAGGGAATGCAGACACTTCGGTTAAAACAACAGTCACTTTTGATAAGGTCACATATCAAAGAAAACTTTGCAACAATTTAGTCTCATTTCTGACATGTCAACCAACGTTAGAATGGCAATTCTCAGCATTCAGCCCATGACAACGTTACAGTATATCATCCAAGTCAAATGTGAACTCATGTAAAAACATGCTTACATTTAGCCGACAGTAAACAGCCTTTAGCGTGAAGTTTTGACTGTTCAGATCAGTGGACCTTGGAATCAGTCGCTAAGAGAAATACATTTCCATATTTCACCCCATTTAGTTTTTCATCACCACCTCAGCATTTTCTTTCCTCCATCCACAGTCAAAAGATCAAGGGGTAAAAATAGTTTATTTTTGCAAAGTGTGTCTATGCCAGCTTTTTCAATTTGCCTGTCTCACTAGCATTAGAGACCTGCCTGCAGTGTGAAAGTAGTGCTCATCTTAGTGGTGAAGCTTTAACGGAATACGTACACACAAACACTGGTTGCTCCCTGGGACTGCTTATTATTTGACTCTTCATTGATATATTTAATCTGATCCACTGACAAAAGGGACAGATTTTTATCGAATAGCAGTCGGCGCCAATGCTGCTGCCTTTACTGCTTAAAGGTGGGGTAGGTAAGTTTGAGAAACCGGCTCGAGATACACTTTTTGTTATATTCCATGGAATGCTCTTAACATCCCGATAGCAATGAATATCTTAAGTGCTTTGACAAAAAATCTATAACAAAATTTATTCTGTGGAAGCCGTAGTACTGTAAAAAGCACGACCAATCATTTTTGCCGGCCCGGCTAAAATAACTGGATGGCCTACCTGCCTGTCAGCCTTCCTTCTGTGCACAAACTTATCTCGTGCCCTCATTGGTCATGTGCACGTTCGTGTGTGTTGGAGGAGGGGCTCTGGAAGGAAGTGGAAGATTTTTTCCGGCTGTGTATTTTCAAATTCTAGCGCACTCGAGCTGGTTTCTCCAAAATGACCTACCCCACCTTTAACGGAAAAAGCTCTTCCATTTAACTCGGATATCCCGAGCTGGGAATGACGTCACAGCCGAGTTCACTAGGTCTGAGTAGATAGTCAGAAACCTGTAAGCTTTGTTGGCTGAACCAGTTGATAACCACTATTATTATTACACCCCAGTATTCTTTGCAGATACAAACCCTAGGGTGACAAAGTTGTACAGTACTGTGTGTATGACTGATTTAATGAGGCACAAAAACATCAAGTGAGTTTGTAGTAAAAAGAAAATATATATCACAGATCTGCATGCCAGAAAAAAAGCTAAAAAAGCCTGGAGAGAGGTAAAGAGCGGAAGGAGAAGCCCGGCCTGACTTTATCCATGCAAGACATTATCTAAATGACATTATCTATGTAAGAGACCCCTGATTCCATTTGATAGCCCCATACAATCTCGGGTTAATAAAAGAGCAGAAATAAAAGAACTGTGCTCTATTCCTAAGCTATCTGGTAGCAAAGCAAAGTTAATGGGCGGGTTGTTATACCACCAACAGAGCAAACACATCACACCCATTCTCTTTAGCTTAATGCACCACTCGCCACCAGCACCGCTGAACAGCTGACTCCCAGTGCTCTCCGGGGTTTCTGGTCGTTTAACACAGCCCCACCCTCCTGTTGGGCGATAAAGAGCAGAGGAGGAGGCGGAACTGTGAAACATAATGCACACTTACCATAAACATCCTTCCCCACCCAGAAGTCCAAGAACAAAATGTGCCTACTTCATGCCAAGTGCGCCATCCAAAGTCGGTGCACACACAACACACTCCACACTGACTTGAGCCCAATCTGGCCCCCCCCCCCCCAGCAAAGCCTTTGTGAGGCTGGATCTGCCTTCACTGACAGCTAGCTTCATCACTCCAGCAAGGCCTTTTAAAAGGGCACTCGTGTAAATCCCAAGCAAGCGGTCATTGTTGTTGCTGACATTTAGAATCAAAGCAGGAGAAGAGGAAGCATGACGTCTGGGCTCCGCTCTGCTACAAGTCACTGTTATGAATGGTGCAGCTGCGTGTGGGCGCGTGCACAAGTGTATGTTTCGCTGACAGTCTCCAAGCATAGTGAAAGATATCGACACCGCTTTTGACAAAATGACATATTGCTCATTCTCTTGCATAACTGAGACAGTGTGCACTATTTATTTTAATCAGTATTGATTTTTTGTGTGTGCAGTATAAACAACCTTGATCTAAACAATCTACAGTTAACAGCGTCCTGGCTGGGTTTACTCCATGCCCAAGATCTCTACTGCCCTCTACCTGACGAAAGGGTAACAAAAAGGACAAAAAGCTCAGCTGTAGCAGAAACATTGATCGATGTATCAATGGCATTAAAACACCTACATTTCAGAAATAATTGATATTACCAATTTGCTCTCGTAACACAACTCAATTCACAATATACTACTATCAGAATCAGAATCAGGTTTATTGCCAGGTAGGTTCACACATACGAGGAATTTGATCTGATGTCATCGTGCATACATCAACTATAAAACAAAAAATCTCCATATAAAACAAAAAATCTTTAAGGACACTGTAATAAAATAAAGCAGTAATTTACAGCGAAATGGAATGCAATGAGTTGTAGAATATAAAATATGAAATAAGAATATGTGCAGTAAGCAGTATTTGAGTCTACGTTGTGTCAGTGGGGGGGCCGGGCCTTGTTTAAGAGGCCGGTAGCGGAGGGGAAGAAACTGTTCAGGTGGCGAGAGGTCTTGGTCCTGATTGAGCGCAGCCTCCTGCCAGAGGGGAGGGGGGTGAACAGTTTGTGTCCAGGGTGGCAGGGGTCGGCCACTATGTGACGAACCTTGACTATCTACCTTACACGCAACATTATAATAATAATAATAATAATACATTTTAATTATATAGCACTTTTCCTGGTGCTCAAAGCGCTTAAGTCGTCATTATGGTGCACGTTTTAAACTAAGTTGAAACAAAACAATCTCAGGCTTACTGGGTCATTGCTTCTGTGATGTGAATGTTTGAAGTCATTATTTTTCTGACTGCAATCTTTTTCTGTTTTGGACAACACTACAGAGTAAACTTGGATAAAGATGTGATCATTGATTTGTTTTTCTCTGAAAAGATCAGATTGAAATGTGTTATTGATACCAAGTGAGCCTCACAAGCAGCATCGCAGTTCAACAGAGCAAGTCTTAGAATATAATAAGCTAACCCCCCAGCTGTCCAGGATCAATTGCCGTCATATATTCTCAAGCTATAGAGCAACCATATCACTTTCCCATGCTCCATCAGCAAAGGTCAATGAGGAAGTAATGGGCAAATTGCTCTTTAAAGGAAATTGTTTTATGTAAAGCATGACTCGGCATCTTATTGTGCTGTGCCACAACACAAGCGGTTGTAATTCCCCTACCTGTAGGCACAGACAGTTCCCTCATTAGCAGCTCCAGAGCACATTATTCATCGTTAACCTGAGCAATGGGTCAACAACACTGGCTCATTTGTATGCATTAGATTCATCAGGAGTCCGCCTATTAGCAGGGTCAGCGGCTCTCCCTGGTAATGTGATTTAATGGGAATATCGAGGAAACTGTTGCATGTAGTGCTGACCTCACTGGATGGTACTAACAGGGTAGATGTTCAGCTAATATGTGATCGCTAATGTGCATCATGAATTCTAATTATCATTAGACATTAAAGGCTTGGTGGGCTATTGATACAATTAGTTTAATAATAGGGTAACTTGAAGAACACAATTAGGCCTGAAATAGGAGATAATGCACTTTCACAACAAATGATGTAATGGTTGATGTATAAAGAAAGAGAACCATTGAGGGGAAAGAGTGTTCCTCTTCAACAACACTTTGTTCATCATCTTCTTCCTCATTATAAAATTGGACCATTGTACTTGAACAAACAGCAAATTCATTGCATTGCATTAAGTAGCATCATGCCAATACATGCTGCATTATCTATAAGAAACATGAAGGCAGCCTGCACAGTCAGTAGTTAGTTATATGTCCTCAAATCCAATGTATACAAGTCTATAGCCTTTTTCAAACCAAGTTCCAGGTCATTGATATACATCAAAATTAGGGCTGTCAGTCGATTAAAATATTTAATCGCGATTAATATATTTAAATCGCATGATTGTCCATAGTTAATCGCACATTTTTTATCTGTTCTAAATGTACCTTAGAGGAATATTTTTCAAGTTTTTAATACTCTTATCAACATATGAGTGGACAAATATGCTTTATGCAAATGTTATTATCATTTGAACAATGACAAATTCTCATGAATATTAAACAACAACCTCTGAACATTACAAATATTTGCCTCAATTCAACCTGGAACCTCTCTCATTCAATAATACAATACAAAGTGTGTGTGTGTGTGTGTGTGTGTGTGTGTGTGTGTGTGTGTGTGTGTGTGTGTGTGTGTGTGTGTGTGTGTGTGTGTGTGTGTGTGTGTGTGTGTGTGTGTGTGTGTGTGTGTGTGTGTGTGTGTGTGTGTGATCGTTGGAGCTATGTGCAGCTCAAGGCATATGCTCGAACGGGAGCTGCCTGGACGCTAGGGCTGTGCGATTATGGCAAAAATCATAATCACGATTATTTGGGTCAATAATTGATCTCACGATTATTTTGACGATTATTCATTGATCATTTATTGAACTTTAAAACAAATAATATTTTACCAATAAACAAGATCAATAAATGTGTTGGAGCGCACTTCCAAAACCATACTAAACATATATTAATATGATAAATAAAAATAAATTAGACCAAAATAAATTAAATCCAATATGTTGCAGTGCACTGTCACAACCTACTGAAAACTCCTTAACATATAGCCAACATTTTGGTAAAACGTATTCAACATATTCCACTCAGTTAAACGTTGAAGGCTGGCCAACCGTCATGGTCCAGAAGTAACAGGAAATAAATGTTGAACTACAATTTAAGACCAAATAAAAAAAATTAGGCCACCATGGCAAATGCTGGTGGGGCTGCTCATGTCATCTCTTAAAGATTTTTTGCAAGAAACACCAGCCTGTTGACATGGTCTAGTTTCAGAGATGAGCGCAGGCAGGTGACGATATTGCCACCTGTACTGAAGACCCTCTCTGAAGAGGAACTTGTGGCAGTGCTGCCACATATGACACAGGGAAAAAAGAAAAGACTCTGAAGAACCCTTTCTTTGCCATTATATAAAAATAGTGTTGCTACAAAAGTATAAATTAGGCTTACAACTCCACTCAGATCTGAAGCTACACAGGAATCTGCTGCCAACGTGCAATAAAAAAGACAACATGAATAGAATCAAACCCTTTTTTGTTGCATTTTATTAGAGTATAAAAATAAATGCCTTTAAAAAATAGGATGCAAGCAACACTAGTTTCTTAACCTGAATTGATAATAGACTATAATCAATTTAAACAGAACAGATCTTAATGTTTGCATTCTTATACCATTGTGTACAATAATTATAATGAATAAGTTCAAACAAACTTACAGCTGATTAATAACGGTATCTAACTTGAGTTTTTATTATATCAAAAACCTGTTGAAATGCTGCTGTTATTTTTACAGTCCCCAAAAAGCGCGTCGGCAGCCTCCAGGAATGCTTCTTTCACAACTTCGCCATCTTTGAAAGACTTCATGTGTTTGGCAAGAACGTGACTGACACGATAAGATGCTATGCCTATGGTAGCAGCCTAGCTCTTGTTGTTGGGCCTGGTGAAAATGGACTGCTGTGCATTTAGCTGTCCTTTCAGGCCCCTCCCCTTTTGGAGCGTAGGGCAGAATTAGGAGGGAATTCCGTCTCGTAGCGTTTGTGCACTGTTTTGAAATGCCGCTCCTAAATGACCCTTCTTCGATAAAGCCACGCTCGCATTGCAGATGAGACAGATGGACTTTGAATTGGAATAGATACAAAAATAATCATCCTCCCACTCGGAGTGAAAATTATATATTTTGGGCTTTTTTGCTTCTGCCATAATTGCGGTCTTGTGTGTGTGCGGACTGTCACTGCACTGCCCACTGCCCAGCCGGCCAATCACAAAGCTTTGATGCGTTCAAGTGCATTATTCTGGCACGGGAAGATTATGTTACAGGACATTAACGATAAAACAGAATATTGTTGTTCTATTTTTAGACACATCTCGCGATCGACTGGGAATCTCCCCGCGACCCTTCTTTTTAACGAGTTGCTGCTCTTGTTCTGACATCTTCGCTCGCGCTGAACACATGTCACTCCCACGTGGCCGAGTGGGCTTTTAGGGAGGGGCGAAAGCACACCCAGCAAAATAATCGTATTTTGTCAATTATGCTGTTTTCATAATCGTCACAAGCCATAATCGTAATCGCGATTAAAATACGATTAATTGCACAGCCCTACTGGACGCTGAAATCATGTTGCGCACTATCCGTGCTGAGTGTGCTGACTTTTCGTACAATGTCCCACTGTCTGGCTTCCTGCATAAAGTCAAGTGCTCGGCGCAGTTGTCGGCGAAATGTCGCTCCTCTGTTTTCATTGAAACAGCTCCTTATATCCGTTAGCGCAGCTAGCTAGCACCAGATGCTAACAACAACAATACACCACACGTAAGGTCTCTCTCTCGCTCACTCGCGCCACACATACACACACACACCCTCCCGGTCCTCCCGATGGCCAGTCGGTGCCTGCCGGTGAGCGTGGAAGTGCGTTATTAACGCGTTAACTTGACAGCCCTAATCAAAATACATCATCAGCAGACTCATGTGATTAGTTTTGCATTTACAACATAGCCATAAGGGTTTGTCTCAAATGTTCCGAGGTGGGAAATTTGCAGAACAGAATTCCCTGAAAATCAATCCCTGCTCCGATTCACTCATGACCGCACACAGGAAATGTTCCTGGATATCGATAGACTGCATGAGGGAAAGGGAATTGTGATTACACCGGTGTAACATTTTACCTTTAAAAACCAATGGGAATTGAAGTTATCGAATTATAAAGAAATAATATGTGTGAGAGCTTAATGAGAAAGAGCTAAGATGTTAAGTGACTCTGAGGCTTATGTATGACTGTGTGAGGCATCCAGAGACTATCTGCATACTAGACGGATGGAAAGGAATCAATAGGAGTCCTGCAGTGCTCACCGTATGCTCACTGCTGCGCCTCACAGATCAATAAACCATTACCAAAAGAAACGACAAGAGTCATGGTCTGGGGGAGCTTCCACCTCATTTCAATACACTCACTGAGCCAATCTGAGCAGAGGACACACTTTCTCAATACAAGGCTGTAGAGACCAGGAATCGTCTTTTAATGGCCAACATTTTTCAAGAATGTGCCAAGTGGAATTCAAGGTTCAACTATCCCTCAAAGGAATAAGGTCTACAACATAAAAATACTGAATAATGCTCGGCCGTTTCTATTCCTCTGCATCCACTAAGATCAAAGACAAATAAATTCATGATATGAAAATATTATAACTGCAACTGTTTTACTGCAATGCCAATAACAGTCTTTGTTTACCTTGAACAGGGCAGGGCAATATATCAATATTATATGTATATCTTGATATGAGACTATAGAAAGTTTGAGATAACATTTATCATTTCATAATACCCACATATCTGAGGATTATTTATCAAAACTGTCATGTGTAAATATTGTGTCAGCACCAATTCTACGTTATCGATACTGAGGTATAAAAAAAGAGGGGTATTTGATTTTCTCCGTATTGCCGAGAACTAACCATGAGCAGTCGTCGATATATTGAAGTTATCGATATTTCTGTGAAAACAGTGTGAATAATAATAAACTACAGAGTCATTTTATATTAGCTGCTGATCGAACTAATAAGATAAGAGATAAGATCGAACTTTATTTATCCCCGTGGGGAAATTCAGGCGTTTATAGCAGCAACAGGGTCAGAGTGAAAAACAGTAATACAATACAAACATTTAAAAATAAAGTGATAAAGTAACTGTTGAAACAGATATCACGGTAAAACGATCGTCATTTGAATGGACATATATACATAATAATAAGGTGGTGTGACTGTGTACTCACTCAATGTCTTTCCTGACAGACCCCAGCAGGTCTTCTCTTTCCCGAATGGCCAAGAAGTTGCCTTTGGTTTTGTGGAATTCATGTGTGTAATCCTGCGTAGGAAACAAAGCAAAGGGGGAAATGAAAAAGGGAGGAAGAACAACAAAGTGCAAACACCAAGAGCAGAGAATGAAAAACATGTGTGCACTTCAGAAAACTGTCGTGTTCTGCAGGGAATTGAGTTAAGGTTATTCACATAGGAGACATGACATAAAACATGTGAAGAAGAATACATAAAGAGTATAAAGATAGAAAAGGATGAAGGAAAGCTAATTAAGAAGGAGAGGGCCAACCTGTAGGATGTCTCTGTGTCTCTGGAGCGTGTGCATGAGTGCGGCATTGAGAGAAGTCGAACCCGGGGCGTTAGTGTACTCCGCCATCTTGTCATTCACTGCAGTCAGCTGACAGAGGGATGGAAAATGAATGGAAATCACATCAGAGCAACCTTAAGGTAAAGTCTTGCACAGAAACCCCGCACAACATGGCGCATATGCAAACCAAAAAAAACACTGCGTGATTTCTTTCATGCCAAATGAAACATCTCTTGCAGTTGTCTTATTACATTTAAAATGGACACTATTGTTAAATTATCTTCTGTTGAGATAGTTTGTTGTTTGCAGAGTCTGCCTTTTTAAATGCCCCAGGGCAAAGGGAATGTACCTTAAATTCAGATTTGAACCAAGTCAAACACAGTTCATCATTCTATTGTGCAATGCAATGCAAACCATGTGAAGAAGTGGAGAATGGATCCTGCTCTTTCCTTCATTAAGACAAGGACCTTGGCATAAATCCAGGGCTGTCCTTATGTTCTTTTTTTGCATGGGCCACCGGTTCAGGAGAATTGACTCACTTTGGACAGCAGCTGTTCGATCTCCACTGACATGGTATCGAACATCCTGTCCTGGGTGGAGTTGTTTAGCAGAGGGGTGGTGTCTGACCTTCAGGAGGAAAAACCAAGAAAAGACACCTATCAGGAAAACGACTTCAAGTATTTTGTTTGTGCTATCTTTTCAAAATGTTGTAAGTAAGTGTTTTATAAATGTACCATCTGAACATTACAACATATATTTATTTTGATTACTGAGTTGTAGCGCTGATTAAATGATAGTGACAAAGGTTTAGCACCAAAAGTTGATATAAAGTAAATAATAAAGTGGTTTTAAAAGGTTAAGCAAATTGAAATGATGTGCCGCAAAAAGAAAATAAATGTTGAAGTAGAAATTACACAGTGAACTTAAATTATGGCTGTTCATGTAAAATCCAACACAATTCACATTTCAAACCCCTGCATACTACTGTATCCATAGTGTGATTGAACCACTTGAATAAGAAATAGAATGATTATTATTGTTGCTATTTTATGTTTTGTATTCATGTGCAATATCAGCAGTTATGTGCAATATCATATCCTGTACAATATGTTTTAGATTATATGTGCAATATTTTGTATTCAATAATAATTCAGTGTTTTTTTTTATTGTATTGTGCACGTTCTCTTGTTGTTGCAATGTCCCTTTGCCGCTGTAACACTGCAGATTATAAGGAATATCTTATCTTATCTTCCTTGAAGTAGTTAGTTAGCTATGTAGTCTCCAGGTAAGCTACCTTTGCCTCACAACCTAAACTACTCAACATCCCTTGACCTGTACGACTAAGAAAACGTAGGAGAAGTCTTTCGCTTCAGTCGCTTGTTAGTTCTGCATGTGTGACGGATCTTACGTCTCTCCTCGACGTCCATCCTTGGAGCTGCTGTAGCTGGTGCACAGTTTACTGAAGGACACCAACTTCAGGTCGAGTTCATTCTCCAACTGACGGGCCTGCTTTCGCAGATCTGTAACAGGGGCACACACAGAGAGAGAATACAACATTTAAAAGTTTACCAACAGTACAGTTTAGTCTGTTGCCACCAGTGGAGTGAAGTAGTAACTAAATAGATGTACTCAAGTACTGTACTGAATTACAAATGTGAGGTTCTAGTACTTTGCTTGAGTCTTTCAATATGTTGCTACTTAGTACTTCTACTCCACTACAATTCAGAGGTAAATCTTGTACTTGTACTCAATTACATGTATTTAATACCTTTAGTTACTTTGCAGATTCGGATTAATGATGTGAATTATAATCAATACTTAAATAAGACTTTAGTTACACCTGGAGTAAATTCACAAGATACTCTGCAGAATACAAAGTAATTCAAACTAGCTTCACCTTTGCCAGCTTTGATAACACTAATGCATCAATAATTATAATCAAAGCATATAATATATATTATCTGAAATGGACCAATCTGCATAATGAGTACTTTTTACTTTTGGTACTTAGTAAGTATATTTTGATGCAAATACTTTTGTACTTTTGCTTGAATAACATTTTGATTGGAGGACTTCTACTTGCAACAGTGTATTCCTACATTCTGGTACTTATACTTGTACTTAAGTACATGACCTGAGTACTTCTTCCACCTCTGGTTGCAACAGCCAAAGCCAACGGTAACGCCATTACAGCACCGGTTCTGAACTTGTAACATTAAAGTGAGATAAACAAGCTGACTTATATAAAACTAGGGGGAGAAAAGGAAACGGTTTCTTGCAATACAGTATGTTCATCTAATGGTTATAATATCTGACAACCGTCTCTCACATTGTCAAGTTGATAAACACCTTAATGAAAATTGCGATATGTTAGCTAGCTTGTTGGGTGCTAGTCGTTGTAGGGAAACACACGTATGTGTTTAAAAACGGATATGAGTCAACTCCGCGGACAGTGACAATAGCAAATGAAACGTTAACATTGTTGGATGCTATACTAGATGTTGTCGTACACTGTGATTTTTTTAATCGAGTGTGGTTTCTTCCCTTACCTTCCCAGTAGCTGCTGCCTCCTATCCCTGCCATTTTTGTTGTGCTGCGACGTCACCGAGTTCCGGCCTGGGCACGTCACGTGTCAGAAGAAGACGTTCCCCTTACAAAACAAAGAGGAGAGTTTTTACCACCCTCAGCAGAGTCTGTTAGGCGACACACTCCACAGGCTCCACATGTACCAGTCCGACCAGTCCACAGTCCAACAGCCCCAACATAAACAGCGCCGCCTAGAGGCCTTTTGGGGCTTCCACACAAGTTTCATCAGTCACAGATGTATTTTCTTTTTACTTTGAATCCCGACATATAGGAAACAATGTTGAGAATGCAGCTACACACTATTATATATGCATACTGTCAAATTTGCCGGACAATCTTCAGTTATATGTTCCTAACAACATAACGTAAAACTGTGCAATGTGTACTTATATACTAGGAACTATTGTATTTACGTCTCTCATCCTGCAGCTTCTTCATTACTTTCTACTTGTTTCACTTGTGTTTTCATAATGCTGCTACTTACCTCTTTATACTTGAAATGTGTATTTATTTTAAGTAATTTTTACAATATAAGTGCTCACTTTACTAAATACTGTTTTTATTTTGTCTATCAGTAGTAGTCTTTTTGCTGTAACAATGTAAATAAAGGATTTACGTTATGTAAAAAAAATGAATAATGACATTTTGTGTATGCATGACCTGGCACATATAGGCTAGCAATGCCCATTTAGTTCAAAGATCAAAATTCTGGGACATCATCACCCATAGGTTTCTGTAATTTGTAATATTTGGCTATTTAAAAAAGGTGTGTTGATTGATTTATAAGCTTAAATAACCATGGTTAACTGTATGTTCACTTGTGCGATTTAGATTTTTTTTATGCAATGTGGCCTCTTCATTCTCCCCTCCTAAAATTCCTCGAATATCAACATCTTAAATTACAACCTGTTAGACCTTCTAGGTCACAGCGTGCCCCAATCTCCCAGTTAAGAATAGCACAATACCACACAAAATCAAGAGAGACGCGAGGTGTTTTATTTGTGTTTTGAGTTTTATGTTAACATGTCATGATCACACAGAGGTTTTTATCATTATTGTTGCTGTGTGTAGATTCACGGTTAACATGAATGCATTTATTCATTCATTTATTTTCCCCATTCAGAATTGCAAACATTATTTACAGTTGATTTCAGTCTATATAAAATCTTCACACCAACACTGCATGACTGACAAGCGCAACGTTCAAAAATTCAGACACACGCATTGAAAGACTCAGAATAAGAAAGAAAAATAATACAAATCTGTCTCTCTACACACATCAGTTTAAACGTTACTGATGACAGCTGCATCTGATAAAATTAAAGAAGGAAATAATCTCTTCTCAAAAAAACTGAAAATCAAGGCAAATTACTTGAAAAAGGGTGTTTCTTTGAAAACATGCATGGCATCACCAATCTCACAGCCATCGGATTTTAATGATCAAGTGCCATGTTGGGCATTTCAGCTCGTGATAACCAACAGTTATACTTTTTTTCTTTTTCAATTAACTGTCCACTTGCATATCGGCAAACAAACCTGCTTCCTTGTAGAGTCCATATAACCTACTTAAAAAAAAGTCCTCCGCCTCTTCAATATGTGAGATAACTGCATTATCATTTTGCACCAGACTACATTGTTCTTTAACACCAATAAGGCAGTCTGTTGGTAGGCTCTTTTTCAGAGTACCTGACAATTTTCTGATGGGGAATCTCTAACAGTGCATATTATATTTACACATGGTAGGTATGTATGGAGTAAACTTGTGTGTGAGAAAAGGTCTCAACTCATTTGCTTGCTTTTTCGCAGCTTTCAACCACATTGGTATGACTACGGGTTTGGAAAACATGATTTTCTTTGCACTAGACCTTTAGATCATGCAGAATTGTTGGCCCTGATGTTGATGCATAGACGGTGATCAGTAATGATGGACAAACCTATGACCTTTGCACTCCAAAGTAATGTTTAGTGGAGGAATAAAAACAAACGCAAATGAAAACAGAATCGATAGTCCTTATAATGAAACAAAGTGAGAATGTGTCAAAAAAGGGCACACTCAACTTACAATGTACAGACAGTGTGAAAACATCCTAAACCTTTAGTTAAAACAACAAAAAACAGAAACACAAATACATTCTTTTTTTTACGATTACATATTTAGAGAATCATTGTTGTTATCCTCAGCCAATGATACGGGACGATCTTTGCTTTCCATTTAGTGCAAGTGACCTCCATGCATACGTGAAAGCACCCCAGACTTACTGGGCAGGTTTCATTCAAACATTTCATTAGTTACAGACTCTCCTTGAAGCTTTAAAGTTTTTCAGAAGATCGCCCATGGTAATGGCTCTGGCCACAACATTGACTCACTGGAAAAATACAACACTACTGAACCCAGGCAAGGGCAGCCTAGAGTCATCTGTGCAGAAACAGCGCAACACTGGAATTCAGCAATCTTTTATTCAGAAGTGATCTCTTTTCATACCACCTGAGTATAGGTTGGATCAAATATAAGTTACGTTGCTGCTTTCGGTCACATACTACAGCCGGACCAGACTTTAAACTTTACAGAAGCCAAGGCACAGTGTTGGATTCAGTCTCCAAAGGCTTGGACACTTACATGTGGCAATGCTTTCTTTGATAAAGGAAACATGATTTCTAATTGTATAGCTAAAGCAGTGTTGAAAGTTATACATGAAAACCTTGGGGAGATTGTGTAGGATGAATCAGTTCCATCCAGAGTATTACATATCTAAATTGGGGTGTATTTGGACTCCTCGGCTGGAATTCCTTAGGTAGGCAGGACAAGTTGTGGTAAATTATTACTCATGTGGCTCGGAAATGAAAATGCAGTAAAACTCAAAACCTGTGAAAAAGACGGACGGGGGACCAAACCTTCAGTAATCTCACCCTCTTTTTATCACCTTCTCTTTGTCCTTGTGTCCTGATCCAGTGAGGTAGAAAGGGAGCGAACACTTCCGTCCAGACACCAGCAGGATGCTCTTAAAGAAATAATTTAGTAGCACTAGTAATAACTGAGTGAGTCTTTAGTGCTTGTTGGTATAATAGAACAAAGTGTCTTTATCACTCTTATCTCCTTCATAAAGGGAGACAGAGATGCTATCTGGACTTCAACCTGTTCCTTGTTGGTTACATTTAAGGGGAGATCAAAATAAAATACTGAGCCAACAGCTACATTGGTGTAATCGTTCTCAGATTTTGTTGGCGTACAGTGTATCTTCCTCGCTTTCACTCTCGTCCTGAAACTCGTGGGCAAGCAACGACTTCTTGGAGCCCATGGAGGTGAGCCGGATCTCATCGTCGTAATCATCTCGGTGCTGTCGCAAGCGATGGAAGCCATCTTTTTGACGATTAGACTTGGCTGCGCACACACACCAGATGATGCAAGCCGTCACTACCAACGCTGTCATGGAGGCCGCTGCGAGGAGGAAGAGAAACACACAACTCAGAATGTCTGCTTACCATATTTAGTTTCTAAATGAAATAAAACATTTAAAAAAGGCAAACATACTCCACTAAAAAGCAGAAAATTAGTTTTATTGTATATTTCCCAATACAATTTCAGAAAGTAATTATGTTATTGATTGCATGTCGTTTGTGTCAAAGACAACAAAAGTAAAATACAAGATGAAGTTCTGAGAATTATCACTAGCAAGAGTTGCTTCACAAGAGCTACAAGGCATGGTAACTAGTAAAACGTTTTTTTAGGAATAATTCAAATCAAAACATTAGACTGCAGGTTGGAATACAATTTAGAACATTAAAGAAGCCAAAATACAAAAATTATATATATATATTTTTTTTTACGTGTCACATAATGCATAAAGTCAACACAGGTTAAAGTGTATGGCTTACCTGCACTGGCCACCACAAACTCTCTGGGCAGGCCAAATATGTTGTTGTCCATGTCGAACTCAATAATGAGGGAGGTAGCAGCTTCATAGGAAGACACCACCACCTGAAATACAGCAACACAAAATAACACAGCTGTTTTTACTTCGGCTGTGGTAGCTTCTGAATATAAACTGCTCTACTAACTTTACATCCCAACAAACTTTTCACAAGATTACAAATGCATCATCTACCAAATCATCTCATCCATCTGGCTGTTTCTCCAAACGGCTACAGCTCCCTACTGAGTGGGGAGGTTGATTAGCCAATTAGCACGCCTCGTTTGCAGGTGTGGCCGCTCAGTTTAATCTGGTGCAGGTTGTCTGGTCATTCTAAAATAGGTTCAGTGTGCTGGCTCATAAATATCCTAAATGAAAACTTCCTTCTGAGAGGTCGATTTCAGAATTCACTTTCTGACTTTTCTCTGCAGTGAGGGTAAAGTGTCACTCATTTATTCAGTGTCATATATAATTAAATCTAAAATAAATGGGAGATCTAGGCTCAAAGCTCAAGAAAGACGGATTTCAAACAGTGGGGCTTCGGACCTGACTCAGTAATGCCTGAACAAACTCCAAATGAGTTGTTGTCAAAAAGTAAGTGTTCCTCTTTATCCTTTTGTTTCTTTACCAATATCGTTTGTTTGCTAGCTTTCTCACAGTATCACACAGAGCTCCTGAATCACTCAAACTAATATCATTTTTTTCAGAGGAATGAAATGCGTCCCTATGGCCTAAGGAGGAGTATTCGATGTCCTCAGAAATATGGGGAGACGACTAAAGAGAGGGAATACATGGTGGCCCCAGCTACTCATTTGGACTGTCTGTGTGAGCAGAGTGAAGCAGACCCCCAGAAACCCCTGGATGACAGATATATAAGAAACGCTGCCGTTCTTCCTGATTTCAATCTGCCCCACAGAGGCCTCACTGGAGAAGAGAAGACCTCCGTCAGCGTGTCAAACACCCAGCCGGGCCCTCTGATGATCCACGGCTTCACAGTGCCAGAGTTCCAGCAGACGTATCGCTCCGTGGTGGACCCTCTGCTCTTCAGGCCCTGCGGGAAGCTCGCAGCCTACAGTCTGGAGCGGGGCCGTGACATAAAGGACCGTCTGTTCCAAGAGCTGGCCTACCCCACACTTCAGATCTCAGAGCAGCAAAATGGAAAGCTGGAGGTGCTGGAGAGGTTTTGTGTGCTCCGCCCGACACCTTTCATAGATATTGAAAGTAATGGGGAACCTCAGTGATATCCTCCTGCTGAGTTTTGTATGATTATGAGAAATGTTCTTTCCTGTTATGAGCCATCATTTTTCTTTGTATGTCACTTGATACTTTATTTATTAAGATTTTGTTTTCCTTGAAAAGTTGTGGCAGATGGATTGATGTCTAAAATGTGAGTTGAAAACATTTCAATTGTTTGACATTTACAATAAAGCTCCTCTTTAAAGCAGTTTCAAAAAATACAAACAAAGCAAGACCAATTAAACCAAAATCTGTGAATGCTGTATTTTTTTGGGGTGGGGGGGGGCTTTATCTGCCTAAATTAAGTCCAGGGTTCTCAAAACCAGACAATATAAGCACATTTTTTTTAATGAGCATTATCATCCCCTGATCTAAAAACGGTTAATGTTTAATAATGTAAATTAATCCAAAGGCCAAGAACATGTTTTTGTAAGCTTAACAAGTGATGATAATGGAACATTCATTAGAAGCTGTAACCTTTAGAGAACTAAAGTTACTAAAAGGCCTCTGAAGGGTTCAGGTTATACGTCTGAATATCAGCACTCTACCATGTGCAGTAGATCTAGGGAAAAGTGTACAAACTAAGAAAGTAGACAAGAATGAGTCAAACTAAACTACATTAAAAGTCCTTAGTCAACCAATGCAATATTTGTGGAAGAAATTAAATTGGTATCCAAGCCATTCATTTGGCTCCATCTAGTGGCCACCCGGTTAGGCACTTTGAATTGGAGTTAACCTGTTGTCAGGCGTTATTCCAAGCTAGTACATTCCTAGAAGGCGTACCTCTTGACGTTGTTGTTGGTAGCCATCAGCAACGGCTTCGATGTTGTGGTTGCCAGGAGCCAGCAGAGCGTGAAAGTAGCCCCCCTCTGTAGTAAAGACCCTCACTCCACCATTCAGCACAATGATCGCCCCAACAATAGGCTTTCCACTCTTGTCCCTCACAACGCCACGCACCCCTTTATGGACCTGGGTGGGGAACAAATGGAGGGCAAATTAAGGCTGTATGATGATGAAGGAAATAACAATCATAAATCTTAAATCCTTGTTTTATATTAGTATGTCTTAATACTTGTTTAAAGCTGGAGCACTAAATACATTGCAAGTTTACATACTGCTGCATAACTTTCAGAATATATATGTAACCTAAAATCCGTATCAAAAACTGAACAAAGGCGTAGAAGTTGTTATACGATTGTTAAAAATCTACAAAAACAATGGTAAACAAGTCCTTTAAACTTCTGTGTTTTGCTGATAAAATCTTGCGTCATACCTCCACCAACATGCTAAGGAGAGGCTTCTTGTTCTCCGCCCAGAGTGTGGCCAGCTGCTCAGCAGGAGGGAACAAACAGCAGCCACTATACACCGTGATCTCTGGACAGTGGCCAAAGTCCATGCTGAAGTCCTGGGAGGACACAAATGCACACAATAATACTTTAGATAGTACTGTGGTAGAATCCTATTTCAGGATTTGCTTTAACTTTTCTGTTATTTGACATATCTCCAAAGTAATATAATGTAAAATATTAACTGTTCAAAAAGCTGTCAATACATAAACATTTTGTAAAAAGTCACCAAATGTAAGTTCTAAAGAAAGTAATAAGAAACTGCTATTACAGAAACTGGGGTGGAGAGACTCACCTTCATGCTCCCCATGTGACTTTGTCTCTCTGCCGCCCTCATCACTCCATCTGGGATGTTGCCCACTGACAGAAACAAGTTTCATACGTTTATTTAAGATTGAATTCCAACACGTCAACATGAATTACTCGTAGTACTTGAACATACTTTGCCCGTTGTTTGAACATCCAGTATCCCCCAGGTGCATCTTAGGGTGGTTATTGGCATAGACACTTGCCAAGTACTTCAAAGTGCCCTCATTTTCAACTGCCAAAAAAAAGAGTAAGCCAAATCATCCCTTTTCTAATTGCTGCTGTACAATGTATGATTACAACTACAAATGAAAAGCTTGTCAAAGTCATGTGCAGGCAGGCTGAGAGTAAAAACTAAGCAACACAAATCACATTCCTTTGGTACAGCCCCCAGGGCAATCTCAAATGTGTGCAATCATAATAGTGGTTTCATTTCAACAATTGATTAAAACCTCCATGAGTAAATATACTTCAGATAATACATCATGCAGATTGCTTTAAAAGCATTTTTTTTACTAGCAGTGTTTTGCATCATGGTTTTACCCGACTGGACGGGCTTGTCGTATGGGTATGTTGCAACAAGAGAGCCTCCATCGAGGGCTACAGACAGAGTGTAGCTCTTGTCGAGAATCATGTCCATCATGGCTCTGCTCTCTGGTTGGGCCTCGACCATACGCTGTGACGCATTGCCTGAAAGAAAAAGAGGAACAGGAAATGTTAGACACTAATCTTTTAGAGGCGAGTGCATTCAATAATGGTGTGTTTGTGACATTCACAACACATCTTTGAGAGTTGAAGTTTGAACAAGATGATTAAATATGTATTCTTTCTTGAATCTGATTGCACACACACAAATTCAGACAACTGACCGAAGAAATCTGTGTCCAGATCCTTGCCGTGAGTATTGGTTAAGCCCTGGGTGGAGTTGCACTGCTTCTCAATGGCCTGCTCTCGTCCATCTGGGTTGATAGAAGGCACGATGACAATCCGGGTCTCATTGATCAGCTAGGGAAGGGAAACAGAGAACTAACTGTTTCAGTCAATGATGAATCATATGCTGCATTACTGGAACTGGTTACAGAACTAACTGTTTCAGTCAATGATGAATCATATGCTGCATTACTGGAACTGGTTACAGAACTAACTGAAGCCAATCCCAAATATGAAAAGAGTGTGGATTCCTCAAGAGAATGAAAACAAATGTGTGTACTCCTATGAAGTTAGTGCTGTACACAGTTGATACAGTCCAGGTAATCAAAACATTGTGTTTTCCTGAATGACCCCATTACTCACCCTGCTGATGGCTGGGTTCTTGCCATAGTTGATGCACAGGAAGGCAGCAAATTCCAGCAGCAGCTCTGGGCCCACTGCGGCATTACCGTGGATCCCTGCTTCAAAGCGGATCTTAGGCTCAGACGGTTCCGTTTGCCCTGGTTTGTTGGAGATCTCCAGAGCCCAAATGGTTCGAAACTCTACACTTTGGCCCAAACTGGAAATAGAAGAAATAAACCAGAATACACGAGTATTTTAAGACCGTACACGTAAAGATTTTAACTAATACATATCACAAAAGCTTCCCCAGCGGATTACTTAGATTAAGACAGTTGTTTTTTGTATTGCAAGTGTTGTTTTTTCCCAAAATAATTAAATGTATATACAGTATGACGCAATATCTAGTTTACTTTTGGTGAATTTAGGAGAAATCTACAAATGCAAAAAGACAAAGGTGGTCAAAAAGAAACATCTAAATGTTTATGATGTGCGTTATATTTCCAATAGTCTAACTACGAGGAAAAAAGCCCAACCTCCAGAAATGGATTAGTGCATGAAAAACAACCATCATTTTTGTCTGCAGTGTCTGGTCTTAAGAAAAGAGATAATCAGGACAGCATTGACTTTTGGTATGCAGGGAATGAGAAGATATCAAACATTCATGTTCACTGAAAAGCAAATGACATTGGCTAGTTCCATTACCTCTGTAAAGATGTAATTTTGGGAAAGTTCAGTGTGAGTCCTCTGAGAAAGCCAGACAGCTCCTTGTAGCCTCTGTAGCGGAAGCTGTTATCTGTGGTCGTGCTCCTGACCAACTCCTCCAAACCTTGGCCGAGGGACAGCTCCTTGATTAAGCTCTTGAATTTCTTCTCCGATGGGTTCTGCGTGGGTTGGGGTCCTTTAGGAGATTGGCCTTTGGAGTCTGAGTGTATACGTGTCAGTCTGAAGTCCACCACCTCTGCTCCACCTTTAGAGACTGTGGCGTAGGTCCTCACAGATTTATAACTGGACAACAGAGAAAGACAAAAGCACTGGTAAATAAAAGCACAGAAACATCTAGAAACTTCATGGTCAATTCTTCGTTTGTTTTTGATTGTGAAATCCAAATCCTACCCATCAGCAGAGGCGGTGATGGAGTAAGTCCCCGGGGACAGCAGTCTCCAGAAATCTCCAGTGCGAGCTGATGTGATGTTGTGGTCTATCCCCCCCACATTAATGGTGGCATTGGGAATTCCTGTGCCGTCCGTAAGGTCTGAGACGGTTCCTTTTACTCCAACGTGAACCTACAGAGACAGATGACCACCTAAATATGAGTGGATGCAAAGCTGAGTGAAAGAGGGAGAAAGCTCTGGGCAATATTGAAATGTGTTAACCTGGTGTATGAACTCAAGCAAGGACCGTCTGTTTTGTTCCCAGTGTTTTGGCAGCTCCCTGGCCATGGGGTACTTTACACAGCCCAGCTCGATGGTCACCTCGAAACAGTTGGTGTATAAGTAGTTCCAGTCCTGCATGCCCCCTGGAGAAGAAAGACAAAGTGTTACACAACGCAGAAAAACAAGTACAACACAAAGTGGCAGTTTTTAAATGTGCTGATCTACTGCACACAGGGCCTTTTAATACTTTTAATATAATAAGTGATAATAATGAGCTCTACAACTATAATATCTGCACCTTTTGCAGATGTGTAAATAAAACGCACCCATCAATCCTCTGTTTTGAGGCTATAAAAGGAGAAATTGATTTGTCCAAAGAGGTTTGGAGCGTAAGGGTGATTTGGCTAACCTCCTGTGTAGCAGAAAATGAATACGGCGAGTAATAAAGGAGGACAAAAGGTGTAGGCTTACCAGGAACATTATACCAGTGTGCGCCGTTGGTGATGCCATCCTCAAAATATTCATTAGGGTAACGTGTCACACAAGGGTGTCCATTGTGCATCAAAGGATTTTCCTGCAAGTGAAAACACATCAATGAGTGGTCAAGTTATAAACCTTGTCCCTCCAAAGATTTTTCAAAAAGTCAATGGCTTTATCTGTTCTGCCTCTACCCTTTGTTTTCCACTACAACAAGCAGACATTATCCCAAACTGAAACGGATCCAACAGTGTCCGGTTACCTGTGAGTACGCTCTAGAAATCTGCTGAAAGACTTTGTCATCAGGCGACGGGCTGTACTCAGATGTCCCCTTTTTGTCATCATCGTAGGGGTAGTTGACCACCAAGGAGCCTACATTCCACATCACAGAGGTTAGACCAGAGAGTAAAGAAAACGTCTACATTTGTGCCAAGCCAATTCAGAACAGTAATCCTCTAGTGAAGTAACTTGAATTCATATAAATAGAAATAACAGATCAAAAGACGTATCAAATGATGGTATTGAAACTAAATACTTCAATCTTTTGCATTATGATTTTATAAGGAGCCTGTACCTCCATGCAGGTTGGCTGACAGGATGAAGGGGATGCTCTTCAGCCAGTTGATCACAGCTATAGTCTCCGGCTGTCTGGGCTCTGTGATGGTAACAAACTGGTCTGGGAAGTTGCGGTTCAGGTCGAAATTGTTGCTGTTGTTGCGCCCACTGTAGCCCTGTTCATCACCTGCGAGAAAAAAAGATCTTCTGATGAGTAACCTTCATTTACAAAGGCTATTGGCAAGCTTTTTTGTACAAAGCATGATGGTGAATGTGGTTTTGCCATGTCTGCTTTAGATGTGATAGCAGTCTGCGAAATACACTGGAGACATTTGAGTTCAGTCACTGCTTGAATCATGTGTGCCCTTTATACTAAGATACATGGCAAAATGCTACAGGTTATACCTTCATTGTTGAATGTGTAAGAACTTCTCAGTTGATGTCCCTTACCTTCAATGGCTACCTCATAGCCATCAGGGTTCATAGAAGGCATGATGTGAATGCGGGTACTGTTGACCAACTGTGTGACCTCCGGGTCAGTACCATAGTTACTGCACAGGTACTCGATGAGGTTAAGCATCAACTCTCGGCTTACCACTTCATTACCATGCATGTTGGCTACATACTTAAACTCTGGCTCACCTGAAGAAAAAAAAATGAATGAGTGAAAATCTATCAGAACAGAATATTTAAAGCAGAATCGTCATGACATGTAAAGAAAAGAAAGTATCCCAATTCCTTTAATCAACCGTATAAGACATACCATGCTCATGGACAGTGGGGTTGTCTGAGATGGCCATCACATAGAGCTCGCGGCCTTCCACGGAGCGGCCAATCTTGTAGAGATTGGTTATAGAGGGGAACTCGCTGCTGTATTTGCGTAAGAACAGCTCCATGTCTGCGTAGTTGTGGTGACGAAATTGCTGAGGCTGAATGGGCTGATGTTCAGGTGGACGTACAGCGGGGCTGGAGTTGCCTCCTTTAGAAGGAACTAACCGGGTCTTTGTGGAGTCAGAAGAGATGGTGGTGGTGGAGATGTTTGAGTCATTGGTGGATGGCATGGAGTTTGTACTCACAGTGATGCTACCTGCAGCCTTAGTGACCACAGGGGCCAAGGTAAAGTTAAGTTCTGTGGCTTTGCCCTCCACGACCTGGACACTGTTGACTGTCATGGGTGTGAAGCTGGAAAACAAAAAACACACGCTTGAGTACTTTTACTCCACCTTAAAAAGAAGTGCAGCATTATGATGACTTAACACCCAAAAAAGAGTAATCAGAGAGGTTTCCTTTAAATTTCTCTACCAGGAAGTAGAACAAGGACTTAATCTGTAACCCCTTTAGAGGAAGTAAGTCACGCATTACTTTAGTTAAGCACTTAAGGGGCATGGAGGGTGAGCTTATGGTCTACTAAGTTTGCTTTGTTCATTGTGGTCTCGCAACAAGCGCTTGCTGAGCTGTCATTGCAATGAAAACCTGACAATCATTTAGCCTTTTATTAGGTGATTCCTGTCCTTTAATGTATAACCAGGGGTGCACATCACTTTTTTGCCCTGGTTCTCAAAGGAGCACCTGGAGATGTTGCTTGGTGCTCATCCTTAAAATGAAATAAACCGTAACTTTTGAGGGGGTCTTGACTTTATTTGCCAGACACACGGCACTGAACACACAGAGGTGAACACAGAACACACATGCAGAGGTGAACACAAGACAACATTAGCACGACCAGTAATCCTACAAGCTGTCATCACTGTTCTCCTGACTGTTCTCCTCACTGTCTTCCTCTCTGTCAGACATGGTAGCTGATTATGTAGGCCTACTACTTCCTCTCTGGTTGAGTCTGCGATTAGCTGCTTGCACCCACAAGTCAACAGCTGGTTTTGGGTCGAAAGTCTCTGTTGTCATCTTAGACAAGTGGATGTAATCAAATAAGTATGTGAACATAACCAATAACCTACCATAGCCAATAACATATTAATGTAACTTATTTTATTTGTGTTGTTCATTCATATCTTATTTTAGCTTAACATTTATTTATTTATGCATTTTTTTTGTATCTCTCCAGTTTTAAAGGATATTTGGTTACTGTCCTATAGTATACATTGGAATGATTTGAAACCTGTTTATCCCAATAATTACAAAGGAGTGCCTTGGAAATATGTGTTTACATAAATTGTGACCAAACCGTTTGAATTTAGACTAAGAGTCCTTTACCTCACTGAGCTGTAGTTAACTTATCAGCCTCTCAGTCTGACTGGAGAGGACTCTCCCTCCACATTATTGTAGAAACATCTTCTTCTTATCTCCGTTAGAGCAGCTAGCACGGCACCAGATTATAATAACAACAGCGCTGGTACCACCCTCCCTCTCTCCCTCGCTCACTCGCATTTTGTCTGTGAGCTGCGGGCGCCAGATAAGCCAACATCCCCCATTTTCATCACTTACAGCGCCCATCGTACAGGGCAAATGAAAGGTGGAACCGGGGTGAAAAGGGTGTTACATTTACTTAATTGTGAATGTTGTTATATCAAGGCCGAAAATTAGGATGAGCCCCAACGGTCAAAATGTTTTTTTCCCTCCCAGAACTGCCAGCGCAGCGCCTCCCCAGATCTGGCGCCCTAGGCGAACATCTAGCCAGCGCTACGGGCCGGCCCTGAGTTCATATCATGGTTCATATGCAACTCGCAAATATCTTTCTCTCTCTCTCTCTTCTCTCTCTCTCATCTCTATTTTCTCTTTTCTCTCTCAATGTTGGTACGCAAATGCGCTTTGTTTCAAATGACCCGGTGCTCTTTTTTTGGCGGAGGTGCGCATGCGCACCTGCGCACCAGTTATGTGCAGCCCTGTGTATAACCCTTTTTTAACCCTATGCAGAGTAACTGTAGTGGTTTTACTCACCCTGGGGCCACAGCTGTTATGTTGTATGTTCCTGGGAGTAGAAGGCGATAGTACTCCCCATATTCTCCTGTGGTCAGGTTGTGGCGAATGCTTGCCACCACAATGCTGACATTGGCTAGGGCAGTGCCATTGATGGCCTCTTTCACAAAGCCACGAACACCTATATGGACCTGTAAAACAGCGGTATCGTAAAAAAAAGAAAAAGAAAGGGAATCCTGCTCAACTGGAGAAATGGTACGCCAAAGATTGGGGTGTTATCCTAACATTATAAATAATGCTGATTTACATTATTCATTTATTTAGCTAAGAAAGAGTTCTACCTGAGCTATGTAGGCTAGTAGGGATTCCCTGTTAAGATCCCATTCCTGTTGGAGCTCAGAAGAAGGAGGATATTTGCAGCAGCTCAGCTCCATGGTGATTTCCAGACAGTTCCCATAGAGGTAGTTGTAGTCCTGCATTCCTCCTAGAAAACAGAGAAACCATGTAATCAACAAATCAAGCTAGAAATGGCATCAAAACATTGAACTAAATATGATATAAAAGAGAAGAATGTGTCTCAATCTTTGAATTAAACTGATGTGTACGACAGGACATTGTAAAGTCAATTATTTAACACGCTCTGCCTCTCTCTGGTGCGAGGCTAATTTATTAACAGAGAAGGACACGGTCTGAAAAGGCCTGAGTCCGGCTTTGTCTCTTCAATGGCACAGTTTAAAGAGTGTTTAATGTGGCCACAAGCCATGTGCAGTAAGGCAAACAGAGATACACACAAGAGGACCTGCTGTTCAGCTGGCCATCCCAGCGGAGCGACAGCAGGCAGCTGGAGGCCCTCTGGCTGGGGGGGGGTGAGTGCAGGATCCCAGTGAAACAGCCACCTTCACCACTTTACAACAGTCAAAGTGAAATGGCTCAAACATTAGACACTTCCAAATAACTTCAGAAAAGCAACCCGTCTGCCACCAGTCTTAAAGAACAAGAGAAAACTATGGCCTCTAAACTGTCTGTGATGGACAAGCAATCTTTATCAAAACACCAAATATCCACAGCCTCGGCAATACAATACTCTGAACACCACAGTTGTTTGGCATGGGCTGTTTTATTCTAGGCTTTGTGTTACCTTGTTCATCTTGTTTTTCTCCACTTAACAATCATTGCTAGAAATCCATAACTCTGCCACTTTGATATAATGTGATCAGTTTGCATGACGATAAAATCCTCTTGAAATAAATATTTCCAACTGTAAAAAAACAGCTGTTAAGAACATTACAATGCCTCCCATTCACGTCAAGGAGAAACAAGTCGCAAGCATGTATGTGTTACACGCCTTGGATCTGATAGCAGGCGTACAAAAATATATACACCACAAACACAAGTTCCTCTCAGTCGTCCCCGGCCGAGCAGCAGCTGTTCGGCGCTCTGAGACTTGGCGAGGGTGACTGGCATTTACTGGAAACTGTAAAGGGCAACTTCTGAAGATAAGGTCTCCGCAGACACGTTTCAGACGGGTTTTTTAGTTGTCTATTTTGCATTCGTGTAACAGAACAGATTCACTTTTAATAATGACAGGAAGGGCAACTCCATTGTATACCCAGGACTAATCCATACATTCTGAAGTGGGTGGTCCAAACCTTTACACAATAGGACAATAGGGACCATGCCCTCTGAGCTTATTTTGACAGTGGTGGTGTTTGTGTGTCGGGGGTAATTCATTTGAGGTTTTACCCCCTGGGGTGGCAGCGCAGACAGCAGGGTGCTATGTCAACCAAACCAAACGTAGCCTTTAGAGAATACCAGGTGCTAATGTTAAGCAAATAACACTAGATCTACATCCTGCTGTGACAATGTGTGGAAATCCATACGTGGCTGAACCACATGACACACAACCCTTTGCTCCCTGCTGGTCACAAGACATTAGGCGTGGAGTTGCACTGAGTTCTTTGAACAAACCTAAACTGAGTGTCATTTACTTAAAGTAAACACCTTGAGTATGCTGACAGACAGACAGAGACTATGTAAGACCCAAAGTCAAATATCCTGTGTGTGTACCGGATCCAGTGATCCAGAGACACACCCTGAAATTAGCAGCAAACCACTGGCCAGACAATGGAGCTCAAATCGGAGCTGGTAGCTGAACATGCAGAGAAGGGCACAGGGACATTTATGACTTTAAGGGTTTAGTGATAAGTTGCGTCAAACATTTAAAATGAAAATCCATATAGAATACCAACAGTATCCTCGTAGGCACTTTCAAGGCTTCAGATTATCACAGCAATAATGCTGCATTTCCATAAAGTCAAATGATATTCTTGACTTTGTTCTCCTGCATTACTAAAAGGCATATCTCAGAGAAACCTAGGCCTAGAGCTTTAAACAAATGACCCATAAATGTTTAAAACCATTTAGACTCTGAAAGATCAGAGAGATAGTACAACAAAGTAAACATTGTAAAATTAAAAGCTTAGAACCCCACAATATACATTTACAACAACAACAACAACAACAGAGGGGCCTAGTGTCGTGCTGAGGGTTACATAGTCAAACCTAAAAGCTGAAAAGTAAAGGACGCCCTCTGAGGCCAGACTGTGTCAAAAGATTATGAGACAAGATAACATGTTTTGCTGAATCATTATTTCAAGCCCTGACTCACAAACAAAAAATCTCCTGTCCCTGGCTCTGGCTCTTCGCCTGGGCCAATCATTATGTCACAGAATGTCCTGACCGTTTCCATCATCTGCCATTAGCCCAGTTTTAGCAGTGACATTTTATCCACTGGGACATGTCAGACAGACACAGCTCTGTGTACTCAACTGTTTCACACTTTTACCGTCAATCTTTATCTAGAGATACGGATATTGTTGCTGCTAAAAGCTTTACTAACTGGCTCCTATCGCTGATTTAAACTGCCTGAAGACGGGCCGTTTTAGTTGAGAAACAGCAACAACAAAACGGTTATCTTCTTCAGGTAAAACCGCCATTTCATAAATCACTGTGCTTTTCCTTTTTCGTGACAAATAAAGTAAACATTTACACAGATAAGTAATGGCAAACGTTAACTGCTATTTATAAGTGTGTGCTCAAGGCTTTGGTAATGAGTTACAGCTCCAGGTCCGGGCTGGTAGTAGAACAAAGTGACATCTAATGATTATCGAGATAAACTTCTTTTTTTTTATTAAACCTAAAAATGTCAATTCAACTACCAACATTAGAAAATAATACATTTGTAACTAATTATAGCAGGTCTTAAAGAAACTTACTATTTTTGCTTACAACGAGCACATTTCTCCAAACTCACGTAATTAACATACAGTTGTCATTAAACTGCCATTTTATAATACCACAAACTCAGAACTACAAATGTGGTTAAAAGCTACTCGTACTCATAAACTGACCTAAAACATTGTCCTGATGGAACAATCATTTGTTGAGCGATTTTAAATTGCGAGCAACAAATGGTGCCTGCACTAGTTTAACAGCTGGCTCCATTCAAAGAAATCCAGAAAACTAACACACAAAACATGAAACACATTTCAAAATATATTTACTTCTGGAGAGCCACAGTACAGTTTACCGACAACTACGTATTTGACCAAAGCAAATGCATGATCATCCCTGGGAACACACCAGTCGATAGACACACTTTCCACCTAAAATAAAGTACAACAATGAAGGCACATCTTATCAGGAATAGCCGTGCGGAAACCTGAAGCAACAAACATCACCACCTGCAACCCCCCCCCCCCCCCCTTCCAAAAGAACAATGATCAACTTTCTGCCAAGTTCTGCAGAGTATTTTTCTTGACCTGAACACAGAGAGCAACACAATCTGCATAAGCTAAACAAAATAAACTTACATATTGTAAATATTATATCAGTGCATCAATGACTGAATTTTAGAGCCGACGTACAAGTGTTGTTTATGAAGAATCATACAATTCTATTCTTTGCAGCTCTTTTAAAAAAACGTTCTATAACAAGTTACACAATGCAGCTATAATGTGCTAAACGTACCCATGCTAACTATGAACTTTGCTTTATGTTTAACGAGCTTTTCGAGGAGGGGATAAAGCTATACTGCCTATAAGCAGATTTGCAAAGCAAGCTTTTCAAGTTGCTTTCTGGAATGGAACTTGAGCTACTCAACTCAGAAAATATTACATTTTTACTTGTGATCTGAGAAAAACCCTTATCATGAGAATGACTTTAAGCTGTGTGAGGAAATGATAATAATTTGTTCCTGAGCCTGAGATTTGCAGCTTGTGAATACCAACCACAATCGTTATGGTGTAAGTTATAATCTCGGCTTTCAGATAACAAGATCAAAAGCAGCAACACAGGTTGGACATAACAAATATGTTCTCTTTCATATTTTCTTGTCTGCTGTCTACAACTTGAAGCAATAGAGAACCGCAGTGACGCGTCCTAAAACCCGGATGTAAACTCCTTCCGGTTCCTTCGTCAAAAACGCAATGCAATTTCTCCATAGGATTTTGGAAAATAGCTGGAAATAAGGTCTGTGGTCGAAACACATTTAAGAGACGGATCACCTTTTGTTCAGCCGGATAATATCCACATGTCTATCCTACTTTTATCATTTTTGAAGCATAAATCTAGTCGCAAGAAGCAAAATGCTAACGTTATGCTATAAAGGAACTACAGCAGGGTTGCTGCTTCAAACATACAGATTGTAAAGTGTACAAGTTGAAGTGTTTGTTTTAACAGTTTGCAGGAGGCAGGGACTTGCTTTCAAGCAGAACAGGGCAAACAAACTTAGCGGGAGTGTTTTACGTGTTCGGTGTAATGACGTAAAACGGCCTGGACAACTTCTGTAGTCCTATTCAGCCACTTGTTAACAACCATCGTTTTTCAGACACGTAAACTCTTCAAAAATCACCAGCGGGGTCACTGCTGATGGATTTAATGTCGTAGAACAAAACGTGATCCGTCTCTTCAATGTGTCTCAACCACAGACCTTATTTGGAGCTATTTTCCAAAATCCTATGGAGAAATTGAATTGCTTTTTGTCGAAGGAACCGGACGTGGTAAAAATGCTAACTTACTTCCGGGTTTTAGGACGCGTCACTGCGGTTCTCTATAGAGAGAACAATAACGGGAAACAAAATATCCTCTTAGCTCATAGCTCAAAGAAACAACACAACAATCCAACTTGGCCGTCTCCGTGACAACACAAAGCCTACTGTAGGTGCCTCCCTTCTGAGTGTTATAACTCATAGCGTTAAAATAAAAGGTCGGAAGGCATATCAAACCCTTGCTTAGAGGGTGCAAACCACACAGCTCAAACAATGGTTCTAGTTGGATATCAATGTCCGGTATGGTCAACCTAAAAGAAAGTCACCACAGCTTGTGTTCCCCTACCAAGATTCAACAACAATAAAGAAAAAATGCAATCACTAAACCAGGCATTTAAAACAATATATAATTGATCATCTTACCAGGCACGTCGTACCACTGCGCCCCATTGGTGATGCCGTCTTTGAACTTTTCAGTGGGGGCATCGGGACAGTTGGGCTCACCGGTCTTCATCACACGGTGGTTCTTGGAATACACCAGGGCCAAGTATCGAAACAGCACGTCGTCCTCGGCCGAGCTGTAGTGGCCCTGCCGCTGGTGCGTGGCCGAGTCATCAAAAGGGTAACTGGCCACCACGGTGCCGCCATGCAGGTTCCCCGACAGCACAAACCTGGAGAGAATATGGCTCAGTTCAAATGTCTCCTGCAGGGATCTCTTGGGGGTCAGTATGGGCTTTCAATTGTTTTTCACTTACAGGGTTTCCACAGCATGTCTACAGGGATAATGTAAACATGCAGGGTTTAAGTCTAGTCTTCCACGTCATGTGTAAATAAAAGGTTCAGTTTTAAAAGCTGCAGGGATTTGCTGACTTCATTTGCATATATTTCATGCTTTTTAAATCAGTTTTTTTTCTCATTAAACTGACTATCTTTGGGGTTTGACAAAGATAGACATTTTCACAATTTCTGTTATTTTATGGACTAAACTATTTAGCAAAAATGTTGACTAATAGCATATATAAATCAAGAACATTTGATCCCATTTAAGAAGCTTTAACTACTGGATGTTTTGCATTCTTGCTCGAAAAAGTAGCTGAAACACTATGATAGTATGGTGTCCCAATCAAATAGATGATGTTGACTTTATTGTGAATACCCGCTGCTACCTATTGAGGTCTTAAAGGAGACAAAGAAAAGTGTTGCTCTTTGACGGGAATGTGTGTCCCTCTCCAAATCCTCTCCTGTGAGACTCACAATGACCACAACGTGTTTAAGATCATTGAAGTTTACTCAAGTCATTCCAACCTGTGCTCTGGGCAACAAGACCTCACAGCAGGTGGGGGGGGGGGGGGGGGGGGGGGGTATGTGCAGGGGTGGAAGAGGAACTCAGATCTTGTACTTAAGTAAAACTAGAAATACCAAAGTGTAGTAATACTGTGTTACAAGTAAAACTCCTGGATTCAAAATGTGACTTAAGTAAAAGTACGATAATATGAGAACAACATATACTTAACATACTCATTATGCAGAATGGCCCATCTCAGAATAATATAAAGTACACGTAATGATTATAATTCTTGATGTTTTAATATGATTATCACAGCTAGTAAAGGTGGGACTCATTTTAATTGCTTAATCCAGCTGAAACCTAATTCTTATTCAAGTGTTGATTACTTTTGTGTATAATTAATCCATATTTGCAAAGTAACTAAAGGTATTTCATGAATATAATAGAGTATAAGTCTAATGTTTACCTCTGAATTGTAGTTAGGTAGAAGTACAAGTAGCAGAACATGGAAATACTAGAGTAAAGTACCTCAAAACTGGTATTTGGGTATATTTACTTGTGCAGTGTGTTCAATGGAGGACAGGGACTCACTTTTTCTCCTTGATCCACCTCATCACAGCCACCACCTCGGGGATATTAACTGGATTGAGAACCTTCTCATCGTACTGGTCAGGGAAGCTTCTGTTGAGGTCCATATTTAGGGCATTATTTCGACCCCCGTTTTGTCCATCGCAGTCCCCCTCTTTGGACTTCTCAAAGCCGTCAGGGTTCATACTGGGCATGATGTAAATATCCGTGGTGTCCACCAGCTCAGTAATGCGGGGCTCCACTCCATATTCAGCCAGCAGGTACTCCACCAGGTACACCAACACCTGCCTGGACACGGTTTCGTCGCCATGCATGTTCCCCACATATTTAAATTTGGGTCTCCCCGGGGTGTCTCTACTGGGGTCCTTAGTGATCCGCATCACCCACAGCTCCCTGCCGTCCACAGACTCACCTACGCTCGACAGGTTAGCTAAGTGAGGGTATTTATCCACTAAGGACTGTAAACGCATGGTCAGGTCAACATAATTGTAGTATTTGTTGTAAGTTTCTACAGTTTCCTCCGTCGAGGGGTTGACGCTCCGTGTCCTGGTGTCACCCGGGGAGACAACAAGAGAGAGAAGAAAGGCGAGAAGAAGAAGTGACACCCGGAGTTTCGGCCTCGTCAGGAGACGCTCCCAAACGTGCACCATGTTGAAGTATCTTCTACTTCTACACCATGAGGACGTTCAAATTAAAGAAGAAATACCCGGTCCGGACAGTTTGGCACCCCAGCGACAGTCGTATTATTAGTGCTGTCAGACCATGGCCTGCCTGTTTCCATCTACTTCCGCTCCGAGCACAAGGTGACGCTACACGCTGACGTCACATTTTAAGGTGGACCGGTGGAGTTTATTTATACAGTCTATCTATGTTCTGAACCAGAGGTGGAACCGGGTGGAACAAGTCCAGACAACAAGTAATAGTCCTGCAATCAAAATGCAATCAAACTGAAAGTACAACAGAATTAGCATCAACATATGCACATTATGCAGGTTGGCAGAATTTCAGTATAATATAAAACGCTTGTTTTGATTATAATTATTGATTTTGAAACAGGTTAGTCACGTTGTAGGCCTATGCTGTAGAATAGTTATTGAATTTTACTTTAAGGTTTAACGAGTCATTTTTAAGTTTTGATTATTTATCACATCATTAAACAAAATCTGCAAAGTAACTAACTTTATTAATTAAATCTAGTGGAGTAAAAGTACACCATTTACCTCTGAATTGTAGTGGTGTAGAAGAACAAAGTAGCAACAAATTGAAATACTCAACTACAAGTCTCTCAAAATTGTACTTAAGTACAGTATTTGAGTAAGTCTACTTAGTCACTTTACACCACTGCCCCTAACAGCCCCTAAGACTGACCACAGACACTCAAATAACTGTTTAAACACCTGTTTACACCTCTCTGTACTGTATTTACTTCTCATAATGGTCAATTCTCATTTTGCTTAGACTTGACAGATCAATTTTAAATATAGGGACGCCCCCATTTTATTTTATTAAAAACTTGCTTTTAGATTTTATCTTTGTTGCTTGGTGTTTTTAAAGACATGACCTCACCTTTTATGTCATAAAAGGCTTAACGGCATACATTCAGTAGCAACCCTATTTTTTTTTTTTTTTTTCATTGCTATTTATTTATGTATTTATTTATTTAATTTTGTACAAATTATTTACACAGTTTTTCCATCTGTTGAATTTCACTGTGTGGTTTTCATATCAGTGCTATCCTGCTCTTGACTGTTATCAGTAACCTATGCAATCTTATTGTGTGTACCACCACTTAGTTATGTTTACAAGTAAGCTTTAAGTTGTTGATTCAGGTAAGAGCTCTGATATCAGGGGATGATTTTCTCACAAAATAACTGTTGCTCTTGAATTTCAATAATTAACCAGCAGCATTGAATACATGTTGTGTTGCATTATTTTCACAAGTAAAACTTTCATTTTTTGAAATACTCCCTCAAATGAACATACGATGAAGCAAGAAGTCAAGATAAGAGTTATAGTATCTTAGATTACACTGCTCAGTTTTGGAGAAAGCTTCATTTTATGTTTCGGTATGATAGAGAAGCCATAGTGTTAATATATTTCCAAACCAAATCATACAAAATAAATCACAACTATGCAGCATGGAGGTTAGCAGCAGACTTTTGTTTTTCCGTTTATTTCATGTTGCTCATTCGTTATTTATTGATCACCAGCTCCATGTTTAACCTTGAATACCAATGTGACATCTCCACCCTGAGGCCTATAACTTCATCCTCTTTCCTCCTCAGGGGGGTGTCAGTCAGGAGCTTCTCTTAAGTAAATATTTTCCTTCTTTTCTTTGTTGTTTTCATAATTTCTCTTTATTTTCATTTGGCAAAGAAACAAAAGTGCAGTAAAACATCTTGATTGTGAAGCACCAGCAAAGTGTCAGCCGTGGTTTATAAGGTCTGACAGAGCTGGATAAAGCTTGGAATGACTGGGTGAGGGGGTGAGGAGGAGGATGTGGAAGAGGGGGAGGAGGTGGAGAAGGATGTAAAGAGTTTGGGGGAGGATGTTGCAGGTCTTATTGCTGGATTCGACGCAGCGACTGCACCTGGAAGGACTGAGCATGGGAGCCCCACTCTCTGTAATGTTTGTACTCGCCGCCATGACGATCACACTCCATGATGTACTGGTAACCACGGTAACCTGGGAACTGATAGCACACCCAGCTGGAGGAGGAGAGAGGAAGAGGGGAGGGCGGAGATTAATCATTGAAAAATAACCACAGTTCCAAACTATGCGAGAAGAAGGCAGAAGTGTAAGCAATATCGGAGCAAACTAAGTCAAATATCTGGTTTTAATTTTAAATGTATGCATTTTGACAACTTCCTTTGTTGATTACAATCAGAAAATGGGAAATATGATCTTGGACAAAACTGATTTTTGCATTACTGTAATATAGAATCTTTTTTAACAATTGTTTCTGAAAATATTGGTGATTATATTCAAAATATTCATATAGATAGAATATAAAATGTTGCTCTCCACCAAACGTAATTCAAGATATATGTCTATTTATAACTTTTAACAAATGTTTAATACATATCAATGTTGAGTACCATTCACCTAAATGTTTTTGTAACAGTAATCAATAAGTCATTTTTAAATAGTTTAAATAAAGAATTAAAATAGTACCAATACTTATTTCTTTACAACAGGATATCTATTAGTGCATGATCATTATTTGTATGCATGTCTGCCATCAGACTTTACATGTATGTTGTTCAGGAGAAACAACAAAGACAACAACATTTAAAAAGACAAAGGTTTTTCTTGTACATTTTACACATTGGTTTCACAAATCAGAAAACATATAAAGAATTATGAATTGGAGTGCAGAGGTTGAGACTTACGAGCCGCTCTGAACTTGCATGGAACCAATCTCGTTGTTGCCCCAGCCCATGGCCTGCAGGGAGGGGTAGTCATCATTTATGTCCCACTGCTGTCCCAAGAAGTTCTCCTTCTCAAACAACACCATCTTTGACTCCTTGTGGTGCTGAAAAGACATGTTATCATTGTTATTTCTCATACTAATCTAATTTATGTGTGGGGGGGGGGGGCTGGTCGTGATGATATATAAGACCACACTGCACAATTTGATATTTTTGAGACACACGAGATGTGGTATGGAGGTGAAACAGAAGCCAGAGTAGTGAGACAGAAACTCACAGCAGAGCAGATGGGGCGGAAGGACATCACCCTCTCAATGTGGTAGGCGTTGCTGCCGCTCCACGACTCCCAGTGAGGATACTCTCCTCTCTCCAACACAAACTGCTGTCCACAGAAGCTGGAGTGCTCATATCCTGCCCAGCTGTCCCCAGCAAGCAGACACACAAACACACACACACACACACACACACACACACACACACACACACACACACACACACACACACGATCATCATAACAAAACAGACTCATGATTAGATATGAGACACTGATTATGTTTTCATTTTCTTCACTGAATATTGGTTGTTTATTAGTTATGTTTGTTCATTGTGTTTATTTGTTTTAATCTCTCTGTTATTTAGCCCATGGCGAAATTTGAAATAATATGTAATATAATATGACTATCATTTATTAGAATCTGTATTTATCTGTTGAAAAATGTTTTGGTTAGTTTGTGTTTTTCACCCCTTTTTATTTCTGTTACCTAAAACAAAGTAAATGTATAAACAAAATGAGCCAATAAGTAAATAAAAGATCTGATTTGAGTTGTGCTATATTATTAATGTTAGTTTACTATAATAGTCCTCATAGTTTAACTTACGCTCCACACTCCACCTTCAGGGAGCGGATGTTGTCAATGCCACACTCCATGATGTTCAGGCAGGCTGAGGTAAACTCCACACGCTTCCCTTGGAAGTTCTCCTGGTCATAAACGGTGATCTGTGGAAGACACAAATGCACACAAGTAGTATGCACATGCAAAACGCACACACTGATGTGTGTACTACAGACACAGGCACACATCATTGATATCATCAGGCCAGGCATGAAATTAAAAAAGAAAGTCATCTGCTTTTGTTAATCAAGCGTGGCAAGACATCACACTCACCTTCCATGGTCCCAGTGGGATGGGATTATTCAGAGCCATGCTTTCTGTGTCTCAGTGCTGATTTACCTTCAGTGTGGGGAACAGGGAGAATTATGGTAATATTAAAGAACGCTATACAGTTCAAACACGACCTGTCACCTCCTCAACATCAAATAGAATGTATGTTTTTGAGTTATTGTTTATTATCAATTGTACGAGGTATTTTAATAGTCTATGTGTTCCATACAGCACAAATCTATATGAAAGAAAATAGTCATTTGTATGTCTTTAGGTATGACCCTTTCTTGAAGCAGACTACATGCCCACACTTGATGGTGCAGCTGTCGATGGAAGAACAATGCTGTTCGTTCTCACTGTGTGTGGTCAGTATGTGCATGCATGTGCAGTTTATACATTTACGTGGCTCTGCAGAAACAACAAAGGCACAGACATGTAAAGTGACAATGGTCTGCACAGGTCTATAGGATGAACGAATTAAGATGGAGGGCTTACCTGACCGGCCCCAAAGAATTGCAGTGCAGTGCTCACAAGGGGCTCCACAAAAACGATGTCCTGACCCAAGAGTAAACGGGCCTATTTATACATGCTGGTGCTGAAAGGCAGCTGGGCCTGTGGGTCGGGGCAGGAGTCAGCACATTGCTGTTTCACTCATTGTTCAGCACTGAGCTGCCGGGCTTTATTTCTCTGGGACTAAATGCAGGGCACTGTGCCCAGTGCGGATATAATCAAGTTCCAAATGGTCCATGACCAGCGGGCCAGACCAAGTCCTACAGCCTGGCCCAGGAAACAGATCATTACAGGTGCTGATAGTCTTGCCAGTGCTTCTGCTGCAAAAGGAAAAACACATTTAGTGTTCAAGTATAAAGAGAATGAAATATGAAGTTGCAAACGGAACAAGTTCACTTTGTTGGTATTTGTTTTTATATCCTGGAGCCAAACAGATGTGTTTTTTTTTATGATAAGCTGGATTTGTTTTTTAATAATGTACCACTGTGTTCTTTCTACACTGAGCTGTCTCCGATCTGCTTGACATGTCCACCTCAACTGACCCCTCATCTCGGGTCCTTTCACCTTTTCTCACTCCTATATACACACATGTTCAGTCACGCACACCCACGGTCATGGCACGCAGATGCCTGTTCATGCAGTCACACATACATACAGAGCATACAAAATAACTCACACACTTACACATCCTGTAGTCACTATATTACTTTAAATGTAACCTAATTCTCCAATTGTTTTTTCATTCAATTTCTTGAAAATCACTTATTATAAAAGCACACATTATAGCCTTAACATGGATCAAAAGTACCTCACTTCTTCACAACAACATTGAAATTCTTCCAAATTGCTTCAGTGAAAGCCATTAATCCAGTTGACCTAACGGTACAAAAATAATAACTTTTACAAAAACGAATATCATTTTTAATTGTATTTAAAATAGACATTTTATTCACTCCCAGAAAGATGATGAGATAATTGATGTGGACATTTTCTGACAGGTCACCTTGTATATGCTATCAGCTATCGATACCAATTTACTGTATAGCCTAATATCGTGGTTACTGTAATTGTAACATGACTTGCAAAGGCGAAGATACAATTATAACACATGAATGCATAAGCCTCAGAAATGCATCTTAATTCCCATCTCAAAATGTAGAGCTAAATTCATGACGAGGTACAACCTGGAGGAAGGACCCTTGTGAATGTGTCTCTGTTATAAGGTCAAACTGATCAGTAAGAGAAGAATATACTGTATTCCTGTGGTTAGATGATTAGAATCAGAGTGAAACTGATCCCTCTCGCCTCTTCTATTAAACACTATAAAAGTCTAAAATAGCTTTGATTTTTAAATGTGTTCATATTGCCTTTGTATTTACTGTAATAGATCAAGAGATGACATTTCCCGTGGGTTCTTTCGCAATGCTCCAATAATTCCTTTTATAAATTCATTTCTCGCCTACAAGCTTTTCACCAATGTCTAACAGCTGCATCAAGATCATGAAAATCACATGAGTTGATAATCACAATATTCACAAGATCTGTCTGCTTGCAATTACATTTAGTAAGCTATTAAAAGATCACAGTGCCACAGGTGTGGGAGATATATCGGCGAAAGAATATACACCCCACATGTAAAAGCATTTATCAGAACACTCTAGCTAGCTTATTGAAACTTTGAAGACATTTATTATATACGTGACCTTTTAGTCACGGGATTACTATTTGTATCTATTTGTACAAGAAACAAAAAGGTAATTTTGTGTTGGAGTGCATTTGTGGATAGTACCTGTATGGTTGTATGAAATATGTATATATGGATACAGTCTGTCCAGCAATATAACAAGCAGAAGAGCGTCCAACACACGCCTGTCGAAAACAAAAGAGAGATGGAGGCAGCTCCTGCAGTCAGCACATTACATACACAGGGCTCAAAGGCTTGGAACGGCTGTAACACGGATCAAGAGAAAGAGAGAGAATATGGAGTTGAAAGACAAAGAGATTATATAGAAACTGAAGGAGAAAACAATAGAAATATAGTATCACTATCAGAACCCTTTAAGTATCCCTGGGGAAATTGTGTTTTGTGACAATTGCTACATTTTAGAATTATTTGAAATAAATGGTACATTAGAAACTAGAATACAAATATTGAGATCAACATAATAAGTTAATGAAGTATCAAATAAAATGTGTGTGTGCGTGTGTGTGTGTGTGTGTGTGTGTGTGTGTGTGTGTGTGTGTGTGTGTGTGTGTGTGTGTGTGTGTGTGTGTGTGTGTGTGTGTGTGTGTGTCAAACTGCTGATGACAGTGACTGTCCTCTGTTCCCCACAATGGTGCTGGAAAACAAAACAGGCAGCCCAGTCAGCGCTTCTTGCCCACAGATTAGCAGCGTGACCTTTGACCCCCGGTACTCCAAAGAGCTCACAGCCAATGAGCTGTCAGAATCGGGCCTCCGTAGACTCGTCCTGGTTGTGAATGTATATATATATCCCCACCGACCTCGCCTGTGACCATCAATTTACTCCAAGGTCGGTCCGTTGAACCTACAATTGTAACTGTAAGTTTTCACTCTAACGTTTTCTAACTTTTAAATAACTGATGGTATTTTGTTGGCGAGTGAGTAGCATATTGGGGTTTCCTGACTGCCCACACTTAACTTTGACTTATTAGATAGTATATTGACATAAAACGCAGCAGGGTATGATTTTATTGTGTAGTGTTGCTTTGATTGCTTGGTTCAGTTGTTCATCCCAAGCTTAAATGGATGGGAAAGACAAGGGGCTGCTTTCCTTATTTCTGAAATAAAAATGTGACTATGGCAGGTTTGACGTTCCATATACAGAGGAAACACCGCTTTAAAAAAGGGAAGAATCAGTTCTCATATTTAAATGGAATGAAATGCCTCAAGGGTTAATGTTTAAATATATTATAGACGATAAAGAAATATATATATTTATTATTAGAAATGTTTTACCCTTAAAGAGCAACTTAAAACACAATTTGTTTTACTTGAAGTGATAGTTACTCTGGAGTCTGTCAGTGCACCATGACATCATAGTTGGGTGGGGTTACAGGTGCTTATTCAGCTACACCCGTCAGTCATTCTGATTAGGGTTAGGGGTGAAACAGTCTCTCAACCACAGAGGGCAGTCAAACGCTGCTTTTCAGCCTGGTGAACCTTCACCAGAAAGAACAGTCAGCCAGTTCTTGAGGGCATACAATAATAGCCAGTTAACAGTAAAGCTTTTACACAATAACGGCAAATTTAGAGATCTATTTTTTTCTGATGTGACTTTAAAGTTATGTGAATGTTAACAGAAGAGATACTGTGTTGACATTGGCTGTTCAAGAAACAAAGTGTTCTTTTTGTAATCCCTGAGGCGAAAATAGTGGATGAATGAATAATGTCTTGGGCATCTAAAATTATTCCAGCAGTCCAGAAACAATAATTCCCCTCTTCAAGCCCCACAGCGATATGTGAAAATGTCTCACTGACTTTGTGTTTCTCTCTTTAGATCTGATCATGTCTCACTCAGGTGCTCAGGGTAGCATTGGCAGCCACTCTGCCATTGGTCTGCACAATCACAAGGTACCTCTACTGCTTGTTTATAATTGACTTAAAAACTAAGCCTAAAATTAAACACTGAAAACATTTTAACTTCAGAAATAAAACACATTGAGCTTTTATTTGCCTTTCAGGTTTACCTCTATGAGTTTGAGAACTTCCAAGGCCGTAGGATGGATCTGTTCGCAGAGAACCGCAACCTGATGGAGAAGGGTTTCGAGAGGATCGGCTCCATCAGGGTGGAGAAGGGACCGTAAGGGACCACAATGGCCATCAAAATAAGTGTTGCCCTGTAACTCTTTTCCCTAAGTAACATGTGTATCCATGTTTCTATCCATGCAGTTGGGTGGGTTATGAGCAGCAGAACATGACTGGTGAGATGTTCATGCTGGAGAAGGGAGAGTACCCCCGATGGAACACCTGGTCCAACAGCTACAGGTGCGACCGCTTCATGTCCATCAGGCCCGTCAGGATGGTGAGTCAGAATCAGCTTATTTTGCATCTCTTATACATTGTGTGATGGCACAAAGAAAAATATTTGTTATGGATGCAGTTAATGTATTTATAGATTCAATCCACTGCGTATATTTTTGCTTTCCACTATCAATATGACAATGTTTAGAGTAAAGACCTACACCTATTCAGTGTTTCTGGCCTTCCAAATAAAAATTCCTTTCTAAATCAACAATACAGTAACTGTACTCATGTTAATTTGTAAGTCATTTAACTTTTTCGACTGCATTTTTGTTTTAAAATCTCTTTATCGGCTAAAAACTAGGACAAACAGCTGCACCAGGATCTGTAAGAAAATGTGTCAACAGTTACTGATTTACAAGTGATGCATGTGTCTTACAGGATCCCCAGGACCACAAGATCTGCCTGTACGAGTGCCCCAACTTCGAGGGTCGTAAGATGGAGGTGTGCGATGAGGATATTCCCAGCCTGTGGTCTTACGGCTTCCAGGATCGCGTTGCCAGCATTCAGGTCTCCGGTGGAACGTAAGTCATTTCTGAGTACTTTCTTTAGTATATAGTAGTAGTATTCTTAGTCAAACTAAAACAGCCTTTGGTCAACAAAAGTAGAGCAAACAGAAAAAACTGAATCTCTCATCTTGCTGTACTGCCAGAACATTTGTAATTGAATGAATAAACCATTTATATCCTGTGGGGAGATAAATCAATGAACAATGTTGGCTGCAAAGTATCTTGACTGTTGCCATGAGTAGCTACAAGCTTTGTAGTAAATGTTTGGATTAGATTAGATGTACCAAAGCATTTCACAATCTGGAATTAATAAAGTATAAAAGCACGTAGTAGAAGTTGCCGTTTTTAAAATTACAATTTCACCGCATGTTAGCTTTGGCAATAACCTAACCTAACCATTTTTGTAATAAAGCTCATCTGAATTGAAGTCAACAGAGCTTTTTGTGTCCTAAGTGTTTCTCTCTGCCTTCCCCCACAGCTGGGTGGGCTACCAGTACCCTGGCTACCGTGGATACCAGTATGTGTTTGAGATGGGACCTATGAAGCACTGGAATGAGTGGGGAGCCCAACAGCCCCAGATCCAGTCCATCCGCAGGGTGAGGGACATGCAGACGCACCGCAGGGGCTGCTTCGAGATGAACGCATAGACAGGAGTCCAGCAGACTGTGGGCTAACAGGGGGGATAGCAGAGGGGTCGGCATGCTGCAAACCATCCCCTTGGAAATTCTTCAACAGCCACCTAGCCCCAAAAGCTAATGGCTTTTGAATATTGTTATGTTTTTACTGGTAGGATTTGGAAGTATGTGGCTTCGTGAATGATTCTGATTGTGACTGGCTTCCAGAGTCTGTAACACCGGTAAAAATGGTAGCAATGCTCTCTGTCTACAGACCTCAAGATAATGAAAGGGGGTATGGGGATTAGTTAATAGCTTTTATTAGTTAACCCTTTTATTTTATTTTTATTTACTCGCCTATGTGTTTCTAGCTGACATGATGCCAATAAGCCTGTTCGCCGAAGCGTTTTTCCTCTATCTGGGATCCACAGATTTTAGAGAGTAAAGGGATAAACGATCACATAACTCCTCACAAAGTACTACCATGGACAGCTGCAGTAGGTTCACCCAGCAGACACAGGCACCATCTCCTCATCACAAAGCAAAAGGCTCACTTCGCTGAAGAGGGCACTGGCCAGCCTGTGATCTTCCAAGGGAAAGGTGGCTGTGCAGGGTTGTGTTTTGCAGATGTGAATATCTTTTGGCCGGCCTGTTCCAGCTCATGGATGGGGCTATCCAGAAGATTCACATTTTACACTTTCTCAGGGATGCTGGCATCTGGAAAGCAACTTTCCAATGAAGAAACAATGAAATAAAGATATTATAAAGCTGAAAGACTTTGTTTCCTTGCTTTTTTTTATATTGTATTAACAACGTATTAAAGCAATAAGTGTGTGTTAATATGTTTAAAGGGAATTACCACCGAACTCTGCAATCTCTCTCAGCTAAGAGTGTGAAGTGCTTATAAACTTAACACCACTCTCATTGTTTCCGATAGCTGTAGGTAGCCTATATGATTAACAAAATGTAGACAAAGTAAACTGGGGTATACAGCAGCTAAAGATCTAGGTATTACCTTCAGGAATTGGTATAAAACAGGGCCAAGGAACTCCAAAACATACAAATGTAGTTTTGTGTCTAATGATTGGGATTTATTGTGAGCATATATAACATTATATATTTATTGATGTAAAGCAATTTGGTCAACTATGTTGTTTTTAGATGTGCTACTGCATATAAATAAAGTTGCATTGGATTATATGAACATGAAGAATGTTAAAGGTGTTCTGCCCTTCAGGTGGCCAAAAAAGGATGAACATTAAATAGTTGAATACAATAAAAACGATTGATGATTCCTTTCCTATCGAGGGAAAAATAGTGCTACAGTGTAGGGCCAAACTTGAGAAAGATGGTTTGTTTTAGGGAAGCTAAAATACATTGAGAACCATTCACTTATCACACTAAAGGAGAGCAGGCAGTGTTGTTCACAGGCCTACATGCTGATTTAGCAACCCCCTCTTTTCACACAGTATACAGCTCACCTCAACAAAATATAACTCCAAGATGTTATTTCTGACACCTGTGAGTGTTTGCTTCCCCGGATGTGGGAGCTCATTTTACAGAGTAATCAGTTACTCTTTCTGAGTAGAGCAGCCATGCACGCACTGCTGTATGGGCAGATGACGAGGCGCGCAGACTGTCAGTCACGCACTACTGCTCGGTTTAAAGCCACAGGATTTGGATTAAATACCTTGTGAGAGGACCGATGAGCCTTGAGCACGGGAGGGGAGGGAGCTAAGGGCTGATTTTTTATCTTTTACCGGATCGAGAAGGGGAGGAGGCACGGAGAATGAGTTATTCTTGTAGCGGCACAGTTTGCTGTACGTGAATTATCCAAAGGCTGCGACGCAAGTAAATCTGCTCCTGCGGCGACGACGCCGAGAGCACCAGAAAGCCTCAGCTCCTGTCAGGTCGAGCACCGATCAGCCCTCTTCTGCTGGACATGAAAGTGCAGCAAGGCTGCAACGCAGACATGGGGATCCCGTTGAGAACTGAAGAAGAATTGCGCGGAAATACCGTAATATCGCCCGATGATGTGCTTGGGCTACAGAAGATCACCAAGAGTAAGTCACCTGCAAGTGCAATTGGCACGATGGAAAGAGTAGTTAAAGCCGCACAGTTAGAGGAGATTAGTGCAACCCATCTGCTGCTGCTTCCTTGGTCATTGTGTCTTTCCTTAGGCTATTTAATGTTAAATATGCTCCCTGTGTTCATGCACTCTTTTTATTGGCTTTGTCGAATAACTATACCATGGACAGCGACAGTCTGAAAGGAGCTCACTGTGTCTTTCAGATGTATCCCCTATAACCGATGTGTGTTACAGGTTTTATGTCCTACCCAAGGACAGTTAGTATATCATTTATTTGTTATAATTGGTTCTTTAATAAGCAGCATGTTGATTTCACTTATGTTACTACCGTTTGTGTGATTGTATGCCTTTGCACCTGTCCGAGTGTAAAGGCACGAGAGAGAAGGGGACTGTATGTACTTCCTGGTTTGCTACTTTAATCCTGCTGTAAAAAAATTAATCTGCTGCTTACTCCATCCTTAGTTTAAGACACCTGTGGCTCTGAGGGAACAGGTGGCCAGGGATGTGATCCAGTAGTTATACATATAGCTTGACATTGACAGTAGTAAGCTTGAATAAGTATGACAAAATAACATATCAGCCTGTTTAACATATTATGGAAACTGTTCCAGATTATGTCATGGCAACAGGACATGCTACTTAATGATATGAGAAGGCCTGGTTTCAAGCACCATTATAAGCAGAGTGAGGTGATAGGAGAGAAGTTTCACAAACTTTACACTTGTATTTCATGATACTGCACTACTGCTTTATTTTTACGTTTCTATTGTTTACCAAGGTGTTGCTGTTTTGATTGAGGCTGACGGTGAGACTGACCAAACCTATTGAAATGTGAAAGAAGCACAGGTTTAAGTTCAGTTTGCACAGGTGGCTTAAAAAAAACTACAGATTCCAGAGGCCTACAGTTTGAAGAAAGAAATGTGACTATGAGGAGTCCAGAAGTCTAATGAGGAGCATGTACGTTCTTTCTCAGCCTTATTGGTTCGACAAATAAACAAAAAAAACTCAACCCAAGGACAAACCATTTTTGGGGCTTTGTCAGTGAATGTGAGCTAACACTTGAACAGGATTTCTATGCATTTGGCACAAATATACACTTAGAATTAGGATGCATTTATTGAAATTCAGGGGTCAAAGGTTAAGTCAGTGTGACCTTACACATTCTTTTGACCATAACTCAAGAATTCATACGTTTAATAGGACAAAATGATGCTGTGAGGACATTTTGGATCAATACAAATGTAAACGGCAACTTGGAAACCTGCATTACGTCTGACTACAAAAAGGTAACAAATATTAGTTGATAATAAATTCTTGTTTTCTAAAAAAGGAACATTTTCATTGATTCATTTGTTTAGTCCAAACCAATACCCCTGAAAAAACACAAAATGTCACACCAACTCTCTGACCCTCTCCTATGTTTTCATTTGGTGGTCCCTTCGTTGAAAAGCAGCACTAGGGCTCCGTCAGTGCAATTATACGTAAATCACTCATGGTGGTGCAGTAATCTCCACTCCCCACTTCATCCAAGTAACCTGGATTATGTTAGGAGTGCTTTAACGCAGCCTGACGTGATGTACCCCAGGTAATTAATGAACCTGGAGCTGAAGCGCAATCGAGTTTGTTTACATTGTGGATATTTGATTACACATTTAGTTTTAATGTTCCCATACCATTAATTTACAGACTTACCACGGCTGCAAACTCTAATAGAAATATATGTGTTAATTTAGTTGCTGAACCACAACTAATGCTTGGTTTATACAAATGAACCGATGCTTCCTTGCTTCCTGTTTAGTGATGAGAGCACAGAAATGTCTCCCCAAGGCCCAATCATTTTAAATGACAGACCATACCACAGAGAGAAGCATTGTGTGCAGCACAATTCAATCATTTTCTGCTGCAAAAGAAAAATAAATGTACAGTTGTGAAAGAGGGAATCAGAAAACGCCTGAAAATGCCTTTTTCTGTAGTGCTTTTGGGAGGTAAATGCCACCATTTTGGGGCAGCCCAGCTCCAGTCTGTCACGCTGGTTCAGAGCTGATAAGCGAGGCACAGCGCCTCATTGTCACACAGGCGGAGAGAAGAAAAAAAATCCAGGCGGCAGTGAAGCGCTGCAGTGATATGAAAAATGGCATATTATCAGTTTACTGTTTACATGAGGGATGATTTATGATGATATGAAGGCCGGCAGACAAAAATAGAAATATTGCCGTTGCAAAATAAATGTTACACAAATAATTGTTATGGGTTAACCAGCCAAACAGTTAAAAGACACTGTTCTGTTTGTGGGAAGGTGTTTTTATTTTTATTTATTTATTTTTTAAGTGGACCTACAGTATCATGCTATATTTGAAAGATATATTGTAGGGCCATACCTATAAGTATATAAATAAATATATATGTTTTTAAAAAATACCAAACAGATCATGCATTTTAGCCATGCCTCATTTCGCTCCATTTGCTCTTTCCAGCCCTGTTTTTGCAGGGGGCTGATTCTGTGAGCTGCAGCTGACCACGCCCCCCTGCAGGAGAGGGGTGTTGGCAGTTACTTTGGAATTAGGGCAGGGATATCTAGATACTTTCCAAGGTTTGACATAATGAATTGTGCTACTTTTAAAGCAAGCAACGATGTTTTCAAATCTGTAATCAAAAAGCTCCTCAAAAACACTATCTAAGCAGTTCCTACAACGGACTATTTTTCTTAGTGGATGCATGTCAATTTAAATCAATACATACAACTATTTTTTAAATCAATAAAATCATTTTCTAAATCCATAAAAGCATTTCAATTAATATTGGGAGTCATGTCGTTACTTTGTTGAGAATGTGGCCATGTAATAAGCGGGATAATGTGGAGCGACGCGGTCATTATGGGGAAAAGAACACCGACAGGCTGATCAGGAGCCCGACGAGAAGCGGAGGGATCTAGATCAGCCTGTAATTATCCCTTATATATGATTATATAGAGTCATTATTTATTTGTTTTAAAGCAGGAGGCGCAAACGCTTGCCTCGGGGAGGGAGAAAAAGAGCCACAGCGGAGAATAAACAGAAAGGCATGCATGGCAACCATGCAAGGGAAGTCTTCTTCGCTGCTTTTGTGGCAGACTACAGCGCCACTTACAGGCCTGGCATATGTACTACAGTGTCTCCAGCGCTTTTGAGCAGCAATGGCCGGCCGTGGCCCAACCTCTCATTCCCCTGATAGGTGGAGAATTGACCAATAGCCGTAGCGCCACCGTCCTGACGTCAGGACAGTGTTCAAATCTGGATCAGTCTGTATCAGATCCGTTGCAGCCCCTTTTTTAGAGATCTGGGTATGGAGGAAAATAGAGAGGGTTGTGTTTTATGACACTTGGTGAGTTCCCTGGAACACCGGGGACACATATTCATGTATAAAAGACGTACAAAAGTGCATTTCGCATGATAGGTCCCCTTTAAAGTAATCAGACATTGAAATCCGATCCAGGAAGTCCCGTTTGAATAACAGATTCATGTGTTTAAAGGTTCAAGACAGGTTTACAATACTCAGGCAGGATTGTAAAACTGGAGATAGATACAGAATACAACAACATTAGGAGCCCTGATCAGTGAAGTTGCCCCCTTTACTTACATGGTGATTTAGAGAGGGTTACCTATTTATATTATGATTCTTATCTTTCTTTCTTACAGTGCAGACGCTTTTCTGCTTGCTCCTGCCTCTGCTTACTTTTTATGCTGATTTTCCTATTCTTATTCTCTGAAAACTTCGAGCAGCAGCTCCTGGACATTAACTTATCACTGGGACAGTTCATCTTCGTCAATAGACGGAGGGTTTCAGCCATATTTCAACATTTTTACGACGACGTCAGTCTTACAGTAGCGTGGCCTAGCAACAGCTAAAGCCTGGTAGGCTACTGCATGCTATTTAGCTAGTTGGTAGCAAAATGCCTCCGTTCTCTACAGATGACTTCCACAAACTTATACAGAAGATAGCTGTGTTGGAAATGAAAATGCAACGGTTGGAAGTTAACATGGAAGTGAATGGACTATGTCGTGGGAATGACACCACTTTACCAGTGTTGCAAAATAATGGAGAAGGGTATGCTAACTCACAGCTAGTTAGCAGCTACAAGGATTCCAAGGAACAGGAGGGCTGTGTACCGGGTAATAAATCTACAAGTGGTAGTCCTCCCTGGAACTCTCTGGGTGCAAAGCCTAAGAGTAAATCATTTCCATGGGATTTGGGAGGACGGATAACAGGCAGAGCCCAGCACTCTCAAATCTGTGATGCGACCGGCTGGCCTGCATTGTTATCACCCAGGAAGAGCGCCTCTTCAACCCCTATTCATACTAGGAAACAGCAGTGGACAGCTGCTAAAGGGAGAACTACAAAAAATCCTCCTAAACCACCAAGTGTGCCAATCCAGAACAGATACGCTCCGCTGACCAAGAACCGGAGATCTGATGACCTGGATAACCTGTCCTCTTCACACAGCAGGGTAAGGACCAATAGCTACTCCAAAAGTAAAAGGCTAGAGGGAAAGCTAACGACTGGGCCTGAAACTCTGATTGTGGGTGACTCTGCTGTAAGAGATGTAAAAGGTCTGTGTAATAAGAACAACACCAAAGTACTCTGTTTTCCCAAGGATGTGGTCTCTGACTTGGCTGAGAAGATCCTGCATATTGGGGCTGAACATCCGACTGTGAATAATGTGGTACTGCACATTGGAACAAATGATGTTGTGAAACAACAGTCAGAAGTGCTGAAAGAAGACTTTAAATGTTTGTTGGAAACTGCCAGCTCTCTAAATGCAGAGGTGTTCATCAGTGGCCCTCTATCACCAGTCAGAAGAGGAGTGGAGAGATTCAGCAGATTGTTTGCACTGAACACCTGGCTTTCAACTGTCTGTACTGACCATTCTGTTCATTTTATTGACAATTTTAACTTTTTCTGGGACCGCAGACATCTTTTCAAGGCAAATGGAGTTTG